AACTGGTTGTTGGATATAAAGGACGGACCCAGCACAGGCACGAATGTATCAAGACTTCTTTTATTTCTCCTTTTCCATTCTTTCCTTTTTTATTATTAATGATATTATTGATTTTTAACTTGTCCTCTTACACTACCACCTGTAAAATTAATTAGCATTATATGATATTGCATTTAGTACGAGAATTGAATTGAATTTTAATGTATGGCTTGCATTTAATTTTTAGAAATACCTGCAATATGAATTGTATGGATATCCTATTATATGCATATCCTGACTTGTCATACATGGCGTATGCTGTATTTATGAGACAAAGTTGTTGTTGTTGTGTTGTTGCTGTTGTTGTTGTGTTGTTGCGTTGTTGTTGCTGTTGTTGGTTGCTGTTGTTGTTTGCTGTTGTTGTGCTGTTGTGTTGCTGTTGTCTGCGTTGTTGCTGCTGTTGTTGTGCTGTTGTTGTGTGTTGTTGCTGTTGTTGTTGCTGTTGTTGGTTGCTGTTGTTGTTGCTGTTGTTGTTGCTGTTGTGTTGCTGTTGCTGTTGCTGTTGCTGTTTGCGTTGCTGTGCTGTTGCTGTTGCTGTTGCTGTTGCTGTTGCTGTTGCTGTCTGCTGTTGTTGGTTGTTGTTGTTGTTGACTGTTGTTTGTTGTTGTGCTGTTGCTGTGTTGTTGTTGGTTGTTGCTGTTGTTGTTGTTGCTGTTGTTGTTGCTGTTGTTGTTGCTGTATTATTATTATTGTTATTATTATTTTATTATTATTATTTATTATTATTATTATTATTTTATTTTTTTTATTATGAAATTTGATTATCGGGGGTTGTGCAATCGTGCAACCTACGAGCGAGCCACCACTGCATTACATTGTATTATTATTGTAAATTGGGCTGGCTTATAATTTCTAATAGAACTTACTGTGTTCTCCTACACGTATATAAAATTCTAAATTTTAATTCACCAACCTACCTTTTCGGTTTTATTGGGAATCGTTCCGTGCAGAACTACACGGCCCGGAATGAGGAAATATTTCTTATTCTACACGTTAAAACCGATATTTATCGAAAGTCATTCTTGATTTAAGAAATGGGATTGTGGACAAAATTGCTTGTGGAGATTGTCTGCGTGTGTCCCTGAATGTGTTCAAGAGTAGAATTTTCGTGTATTTGCCGAATCTGCAAAGGTATAAGTGATAGATGCACTGTTATTATTGTGGACATCGTTTTTGGTACTTAGGTTTGATTTGTGGGTACTTTTTATTACTATGCTATTTCACATACGTGTTTGTTAATTATTATGTAATGACGAAATTAATATTAAGATTGGTATTGATATAATATTGACATCAATATTTAAACAATCATAATGTTGTGAATATTTGTTTAGTACTTAACAACTATTTACATACTTGCCTGTACTCATTTTGTAATGACTTGTCACACACAGATTAGAGATAGCTTATAGATTATTGTGGATATTTGTTGGTAATTATTAATTTGTTTTTGCATAATTGGCTACTTGTTAGCTCTCATGTTATAATGATTTTCCGACCAAGCAGGTTTCGACCAGGTACAGCTGGCGACATCTTTTTTTCTTTTCTCTTCTCTCTTCTCTTCTCTCTCTTTCTCGTCTTCTCTCTTCTTACTATTTCTCTTCTCTTTCTTCTCTCTTCTCTTCTCTTTCTCTTTTCTCTCTTTCTCTTTTCCCTTTTCTCTTTCTTCTTTTCTCTTCCTCTTCTTCCTCTCCGTCTTCTCTTCTTTTCTCTCTTTTCTCTTTTCTTCTTTTCTCTTTTCTCTCTTTTTCCTCTTTCTCTCTTCTCTCGTGTTTTCGTCCTCTCTTGCTTCCTTTCTCTTCTCTCTCTTCTCTCTTTTTCCTTCTCTTCTCCTCTTTCTCTCTCTCTTTCTCTTCCTCATTTTTTCTCTCTTTCCTCTTTCTCTCTCCTCTTTCTACTTTTTCTTCTTTTCTCTTCATTCTCTCCTCGTTTTCTCTTCTTCTCTTCTTCTCTTTCTCTCTATCTCCTCGGTCTTTATCTCTCTTTCTTCTCTTCTCTCTCTTCTCTCTCTTTCTCTCTCTTCTCTCTCTCTTCTTTCTTCTTCTTTTCTCTTCTTCTTCTTTCTTCTCCTCTCTTCTGCTCTCTTCTCTGCCTCTTTCTCTTTCTCTCTTTCTCTCTCTTCTCTCCCTATCTCTCCCTTCTCTCTCTTCTTCTCTCTTCTCTCTCTTCTCCTCATCTTTCTTCTTTTTTCTGTTTCCTCTTTCTGAAAGAAGCCTGAAAATTTTGTATCTGTGTAACTGATAGGCCTGCTTGCGACCGGCGAACTCTCGCAGCATCCACGCACGTTTTAAAGTTTTAAAAAAAATTAGTTTCATTTGCAGCAGTTCGTCTTCTGTTCGTCTTGTTGTTTTAGTTATGAGGTGCTGCAGGAGAGCGCGCCAACGTAATGGTTTCCACCACTTTACCGTGTAAAGTTTACAGCAGTTTACAGATTATAAGGCCCTGGAGCTGTTCGCGAGCGTGTTTTGTGTTTAGTGCTAATTAAGTGTGTATTTCCCCATAAAAGATAGCGTTTACTCCAATTTTTTTTTAATTCATGCTCTTTTATTCTATTGAAGTAAAGTTTGAAGAATGAAATATATATTTTCTCTTTAATGTGTTCTGGGAGCGAATCATGTTCGATATTTCGGATAACTGTAGGAAACTTTTTCAATAATTACACAGCTTTAATGGATTTTTGTTCTGTTATTTCTGTTACGTGATAACGTAAAGAATTTTGGTTAAAAATGAGCAAATATTCTAGTGATTCTGATTCTAGTGATGACTCCCGTTACCAGAAAAGAAAGAGCAGACGGTGAGTTGATACTTCTCGAATTTGAAATTTGTCTACTACCATATTACGAAGTTGTAAAATGTAAACGTTTTGTTCTGTAGGAGATCCAGGAGTTCTTCAGCGACAAGTAATGACAGTAGATATTCGTCAAAAAAGAGATCGTACAAACACAAAAGAAGCAAAGGGCACAGATCAAGAAGTAGAGACAAGTATAGTAAATCCAGGTGTGCTATTTTCCCTAAAGAAAAGTTGTTTTTTTTGTTGTAATTTTTATACTTGCATACTCCACTTATTGCCTCAATAAACTTACCAATCACTTGCGTCCATATTATCAATCAAATGTCATATCTGCCACATCTGTTTAAGTAAGTCAGTAGGTTCTAATATTTTGAAATTATCTTCTCAAATTGGTTTTATCATAATGTTGGTGTTCAAGCATTGTTTGGTCAGATAATGTGTCACATTGTCTTCATTCTGTCATTTATTGTTTTGTCAGAAATTTGTTATGGACACAAACATTCATAGATTTGTGCAGAGGGGAAACCATGGTCTTACCTGAAAATTTTGAAAGACCTTAATCAATTAGTTTATTTCTGTAAAATATGTTTTATGGCTGATGTTTGTCCTCCCCTTTAACCTGACAATTCTTGGATTTTTTTGTTTGGGTTTAACGTAAAATCAATTGTCTTTATTAGTCATATAATTAATGTTATAATTTCAATCTCCAGAACAGGTTTTTTTTATTTATGAGTAAAATATGGCATATATAAGTAAGAAAGTTAAATGGAAAAACTTTTGGAAATTTTTTAAGTGTATTATTTTAAGGTGATTCTTTCATTGATGAATGGATTAATCTGACAATTGCTAGTGATAATAAAAAGGACAATAGCATGAAATCAGAGGATGACCATTTGTTTACAACTTTCACTTATTAATATCCTATAATTTTGTCATTCTAGGAGTCGTCATTCTCGAGATGAGAGCTCTCGTAGTACATTTGGATCACGTTCAAGCAGTAAAGCAAAACATAGTAAGTCCTCTCGTGACAGATCACGTTCAAGCTCTAGGGATAGATCAAGTGGAAGAAGAAAGCATAGGTCCAAAAGACGCTCTAGATCTCCATCAAAAAGCCGTTCAAAATACAGATCAACTTCATCCTCCTCCTCGTCTAATGGCAAATCTCATTCTAGATCAAATTCTCCAGTGTGTGTTGACTCTCGCACAACCTCACAAACAGGATCAGCTAAGCAAGAGCCTAGTTCAGAAGATCAATTGAGAGCCAAACTGCAGCAGGCAATTAAGGCAGCTCAATCAGCTGATGACTTGCTGCGGCAACAAGGCTTCTTGACTGGAGTCTCTTCAAGAAAAGATGATATAATTAAAGGTGACTATTGTGGATTACGTTGTAATTGAAGGTGACTATTGTGGTGATTATTGTGGAGTGCGTGAAAGTAGACCAAGAAAGCTTTTAAAGTTATTTATTGTTTTTATTAAACTTTTGCCTTTTTTTAAATACATTTTATAAGTCCAAAGCAGATTGTTGTGGAAAGTATGAATGTATCAAAATAGGTTAGTATTATTAAATTATTTCCATATTTTTAAGATGAAGTAATTTGATTACTTCAAAAATTCATAAATACTGTTTTTGATCAACAATGCTGATTAATCTGCATTTCTCATTTATGTACAAGTTCCATTTTGTGTTAATTTTTCTCTGAGCACTGAATCACCAAAACGGTCTCATGTATGAACTATGATATAGTTAATGGTTTTATTTTTAAACCTTGCTTACATGCATTATTTACTTTTTCCTTCAATAAAATATCACTTCGTTAGACTTCATTAGAGTGGTAGTTTAGTTGTTAATAGGTAGTTGTCGCTGCTTCACAAGTTTTGCCATAGCTACAGTATTTATGCATCACCAATAATTTTCTTTAGATAAATATTTCACTATTACATTAGATAATAGCATTAACTATTACATTTCTGTGTTGCACATTTTCTTCTCAAAGCAAACATGAATGAAATGTACCAATCCTTGTGGGAAAATGAAATATGTTTTGTCTGATTTATCTCTAAAGGGATCTTAAATAGGTTAATTGTGCTAGTTTTGCTATTTTGTGTTGAATTCTTTAAAAAAATGTATTTGCTACTTCTTGTTTCAGAACCAGCCACAAATATTCTTGATGAAATAAATAGTCCCAGTTTCATACCAAAAAATTTTGTCTCCCAAGCATCTATGCCATTTACATCAGAAGCTACTCCTAATGTAGCTATTAAACCTGGCAATGTACCTCTAGCTGCCACTTCCACAGAAGCAAAAGATAGTGCCACTAGCATATTCCATCCAAGTGTAAGTATATTTAATGAGTGTCTTTATTCTTGAGAAATTATAATTTCTTATATGGCAGAAATCCAATTTCCATAAAGACCTGTAAATTTTCAAAAATTGCAGAAGTTCAAACTTTTTTATGTATTTACACCAAAAGTTTCCTGCTCAACCTCTGGGGGTTAATGAAATTTTAAATTATTTCTGGGGACAGTAGCCGATTATGAATGAGTGAGTGATCAGTATAATCAAGATTCCTATAATAACAGAAAATTAAAATGAAAGTTGATAATTGTTTTTCTGATATAAAGCTACAAAATATCAAATAATAAATTCTACTTCTTACTTTTAATATCCATTGGTCATCCTTCGTTACGATGTTTAAAACACTTCTGAAATAGTAACATGTTCACAATATTATTCACATACACTGCAGAAATGTAATGGCCTATTCTTAAGAAGCCCACAACATAGACTACATTTTAACCTTGCACATCAATGAAAATTAAAACTCTTCCACTTAAACGTGGAAATTTCCAGTCATTGAAAATTCAAGATGTTTATGAATATTTATGTATATAGAATTGTTATCTTTAAGTCATTCTTGTGCATTTCTTTGTGTTATGATAATGTTGTATATACAAAGAGAACACGAAGGTCTACGAAGCAAACTATTTTTTAAGGGATTAATGCAAGAAAAGTGTTGGGGCTCTTTAATCTACACCTTCGTTGTTGAAAGTTAATTTTTTAAATACATCTTTCTTCTGTATTAGCACTTTAAAAGATCTAATTTATAGTTTTTTCAAAATATTAGTATTTGGGGGTAATTTTCAATCAAATTGCATTATTTTTTTTAAAAAATACATATGAAGAATTTTTCCAAAAACAGAACCAACTTTTTTTAAATTTTTTTACAATGGAAAACTTAATTCAGTGCATTGTGCGCTATCAGAAATGTAATTTTCATTAAAACTTATAATAATACACATACATCCTTTTTTATTATCATGTTCTTAACATGGAGTGCTACTCCAGCCACTGCAAGCATCCACTATTAATTTCTCAATTTTAGCAAAAGTGTAACTTACCTTGTGACTTGTTTATATTTAAAACTTTTTATGATGATAATTATAACTTGTTGATGTTTACGATGGGTTCAGAGTAGTAACAAGAGGAGAGACACTTCAACCATAATGGTGATATTAACACTTATGAAGAGCAGGAGGCTGGTGTGGAGTATCATGTTACTGCCAAGCCCTTCACATTTACATTACAAAAGCATTTAAGGATACAAATATTCTAATTATTTTGAAGTTACTCAAGAGTTTCAAATATAATCAAACAAAATTTTCTCAAAAGATCCCATCCATTATACCTAAAAAATATTCCAGTGGAAAGGATTTGAGCTTTACTATGATAACCCAGTAGTTTTTTACAGTTAAACAATTAGCAAGTCCCAAAAATTAAAAAAAAAAAACGTGAAAGAATGATGTATTTTGATTAATCACTATACAAAATATCAATATTATAGTAACGAAAAGTGAATAATCATGTTAATTGGAAAGTTGTCTAAATTTTCTTCTATGTATTTTGGGTACACTTTGTGAATGTTATGAACAATTTTTATTTCTGGATTTGAGAACTGAAGAATTCTAAGCTCAAAAACCTTTGAAAACTATACTCTAAAGCAATAAATTCTGTTGAACATTGTTCAGTATCGAATATTCAATGTATATGAACACTGTTGTATATACAAGCAATAAACTGTGTTCATAAGCATGTTTTGTAGAGATGTTTTGAAAGAGGTAGCTATGAAAAATGTCTCACTTGTGGACTGTTTGTAAGGATTCAGACAAAACTGGTATTTACTTTGATGAAATTATTGAGAGCAATTAACTCTTGACAATCTACACCTACCCTTTTATCGTGTTGGAAAATTTTCTTTGTATTTCTCCCTATCAATCGGTACATGGAATCAGTGGCAGGCATTGTGGACAAAGTACAGTAAACTCTGTCCAAATTGGAACCTGTAAAAGCCAGTAACTTGCATTAACCAGAAAATTTCTCCAGCCCATTTTAAATGGCATTTTAAACAGCATAAAATGGAACCTTTCCAATGCAGAAACGGAATGTTTTTTCATGTTCTGCAGGAAAAAAATCTTTATAAAATAGAATTCCTGCGAATTTAATGGAATTGGCAGAGAGACGTGAAATGTTCTTAATGAAATAAATACATCTGAAATTTTTTTTGAAATTCTCAGTCCCTGTGATATGTGATTTAGTTGTGGCAGCTGGATATTGAAGGAAAAGGTTGTCAGCTTAGAATTAGACTTTTGGGGTTGCTTGTCTCTCAAGCCATATGCCATAGGGGAAACCCTCTCCCCTGACTCTCTGAACATGGGAAGGTATAAGGGCATGGCTTCTATTCACGTGTCTCCCTGACCCGCATTGAAAATCATAATCCCTTCACCAGATATGCTTTGCTTAAGGCCATGTGAGGGTATCCAAAAGGCATAATAGTGGGTTGTGATGCAATGTGCATTGAGTCAACAAGCAGTCTGAATACAGCCAGTAAGGTGTGTATTTTTCAACTCCGAAACTGTCAATGAAGAGCGTTTAACATTCATTTGCGATTTCTTCTATAAACACATTTTATGTTAATGTATCTTGATGAATATAATAGTCATAATTTACTACTTTCAGGGCAGAAATATCAATATCACAAGTGTTATAAAAATGGACAACCTTGCTTAAAACGGTAACCTCCCTAAACTGCAATATTCTTGCGACTCAATCGAATCCATCTTCGAAAGATTTTACTGTACCTTTCCCCCTACTTACAACCTTGACAAACGCAATTGAAAATCTTATAAGTTATCACACCAAAAGTTATTTAGATCCATCATTTTGATACTGCATTGCTTTGTCAAACTCTGTTGCATTATTTAGTGCACTTGGAAAATCAATGGTTTAGTTTTACCTATGTTTTCCAGATTGTAACTTCTTAATGTCCGTACTTTGTCTCAGGCTACCTGAAAAAGTGGCCTCATTTTGTTGCAAAACATGTTGTTTTTTTTAGTGTGTTGGTAATAAAAATAATTATGTTTTCAGATATACAAGTGGTGTGAATATCTTGACGTGTCCTACAAAAATACTATACCTACACTATACTATACCTACAAAAATATATATTTCAGATTATAGTATCATAAGCTTTCAATGGAGTCAATAGAAATATGAGACTATCAAATAAATAACAAAGTGGTTGCCAACACTTCCAATTGACAGTTATACCATTCAGTATTTAAAAAAATTCTTAGATGGACTTATTTTAAGAAATAAAAATTATTCCTTTTTCTTTCTAAGAGATTCTATTTTCAGTAACTCATTCTAAGGTTTTAACCTTTACTTGGGCATTTTTTTAAAATCGATTTTGGGATTAAGCATTATAAGAGACTTTGTTTAAATTTTAAAATTTTGAAGTAGCATTTCGTAGAAGAAAAACAAATCGATGGTAAAAGTGGTTGGCCAAGTGATATTAAGTTGTTTACATCAATAGTTCCGTTAGTTTTTCCTTCTAATAACTTTTAATATTGACTTTTTTCTCTTAAATGCTACATAGTTTTCAAATTTTAACCAAATCTTTTACAGCCTGGAATTACTGAAAAATACCCCAATAAGTAAAATAAATTATTGAAAATTCGTTGTATTCTGACCTCTTTTTCAAAAGACACTTTTAACGTTTTTACAGCAACAAGTTTCATAGTAGCTGGAGACAAATTCTTCAGGGATGTGTTACATCATATTCCCTTTATTTTAAAGCAATATGTGCTACTACAAGGCCAACTAAATGAATAATCAATCGATTGTGAATGTATGATCTACACATGTTGTGCATTAAATTTATTTGTAATTTGGTTTTCAGTTGCTGGTTGACCCAGAACTAAAATTAGACAAGTGGGTGAAGAAATTGTTTAATCTTAGACAGAAAGCAATTAATGGAGAACCAATTGCATGAGAACATTGATGTAGGAGATGGAACAAACCATTTAAACTTTATTGCTGTAACATACAAATACATATTGACTATGAACTAACATATAATGTAAGATATTGTAAGTTTACCAGTGCAAAATGTAATAATAAACAGAATCTTACAGAAACTTTTTCTTCTTTGTCACTCCTGAAATTCAAAAGAATTAATGCCTTAGCCAAACTGATAAATGTAAAATGTATTACAAAAGAGGCAATTCTTTTGTTATAGAGATATTGCGTAATGTAACACTGAAATAGGGTATGTGACTGCAGCAGTTGCGTCAGGTACTGTATTCTACATCTTTACAAATGATCGAGGGCAAATGCTGAAAGAGTTATGGTGTGACCCATGACCACTTATTTTTCTTACTCCTAATTCCAAGTACAGTTTTGAATTTTTGTTTGGGCACAACTCTTTAATCAATTTAGCCCTTTTTTTTTAATTAACCGAACAGTGAAGATGTTAAACCAGACTCAACTCCCAGTGACTGATGCCAAGGACAGATCTTCAAATATGTATAGTTGAATTCAGGAAGACACTAATAAATGAAGAGGGTATATTTAACGCAGGGTGGCCAATAAATTTATAATTTAAAGTCTCCCAATACTACAATGTCAGTTTTTGTTTTTAGCACGATTACCTACTGTGATTTTGCAGGATTTGTTTCCAGTTCTGAATTCATCATCCAATGATTAAGATGCATGTAACAATTTGCACCCTACGTGGTGCAGGACTCCAGTACTCTCCTAACAAATAATTACGTGACATAGAAAGGATATAAACCTACCTACCATTTTAATGCCCTATGCCACCAGGGAGATGCTTTAATATGATCTGTGTTTTGAATTTTTACACTTCATCCCAGCAGCAGGTGGCATTGTACAAAAATTCGAGAAGTTATCCCTAAAGTTTGGAGAGCAGATAAAAGTCCAGAAGCATGCCAGTATATAACATGAGCCAAAGGCCGAATCTCTCTTTTGCTCTTTCAATCACTCTAGAGTAATACAACAACTCGTTATGAACATAAATTAATTTGGTTTGGAACCAAGCAAGAATTGTCTAATAATTCTCAAATATTCTCGACAATTCTGTGACTTTCCCCATTTATTATTGGCCACTCTACAACTCATTAGTTTCGGTAAATGCCGACACAAAAGCAAAATTTCACATAAAATTTTGAATGTAACAATTAAAGAATGTTCCAATATACTATCAACACTGAACATTGATAAATATTACCACCAACAAGTCATTGAATTACAATAGTTGATAGAACAATACATGTTCATAGATTTCCCACAGCAATTCATCGTACTTCCCTTACCATCACAAGCTAGCGGTCAAATAAAAAGGCAGGAAATATTTCACTATCAATTTCTTTGGAATGACTATTTTGTTTTAAAGGAAAATCCACGTACAAATTTACTTCAAAAGAAGTAAGCACTACTGTACTAGTTTGTTCTAGGTCAAGTTGCAGGAAACACACCTTTATCCAGCCTTCTAGAGAACCTGGTCAGAACACATGGTCTTCCATGACATCCAACAACTACACTAATCTCATAAATCAGTCTTCAATAAACCTAACCATTTGAACCTAATTTGAAATGAATATACATATGATTTGAGTATATCTTTCAGCATGAGAGAGAAGAGTGGCATCTTCCAGTATATGATGCATGTAATAGAAATGAATCACTTTAATTCAACTAAGCTCCAACAGAATTCTGAGATTCATATTCAAGCATTTCAGCAAGGTTCATTATCTCCAATTCCACAATGTTCTTTCCAGCAAATTCAGCATACTTCACATTGCTCTCGGGAATACTCCTTTTCCACACAGTAGCTAAAACAGAAAATAATAATAATGTACTGTAGAAAAATGTGCCTCATTGCAATTTAAATACATGTTGCACTTGAACATAATTAGGTTTTGACTTGATATTCTGTTTCTTTCTCATACTGCTTAAATAGTATAGTGAAAGTATTGTAATGCTACAGGAGAAAGCCAATTTAACAAGAAAAACACTTATTGCAAGACCCTGGTAACAGTGGACAGTGACTGTGGAGTCAGAACCCGTGTACTGTTAGTTCTTGATAGTGAACAATCAATTCACCACAAAACAGGTCTGTCTTTCATTAACGATAGCACACAAATTATTCAGGAAATTTTCTCTAAAATTGATATTCCCAGGTAATCTGAACAAACTCAAAGCCCACCAAGTTCGAAACAGGTATTTTAATTTTTAAAAGTTCTTTACATGAATTCCAAAATTATCTCTAAAAGGTCTCAAAATGTTTGATTAAATTAGTTCATATAAAGATCTACATAGTGATATGGGTCTCATTTTCAATGATATCCCAGATTGTTCAAAAATTGCAAAAGTTAAAAAATGTTTGCGTCCTCACTGATTTTAGCCAACAGTTCACAAAATTGTAGGCACAATACAGAATAATTAGGTATCAGTTCTTGAACAATCTGAAGCTTGTAAGGAAGAAATTTAAGGACATGGAGTATTTTTCACATGCTCCGGTGACCAAGCCTTATTGATAATGACTCCTCACCACTGTAGCTTGCATAGCATCAATGTTTTCATGCGTACAGACAATACACACCCACAAGGTCTCTTTTTCAAAACCGAACCGATCTCTTCCACGTTACAACCCACAATTTGATTGCACGACAAGAAAACTTGACCAAAGGGGGGGATTTCATAGTGGCACTGAAACACACTTCGTGCAGCTGTCACACTGCCACCATGTCGATAATTCGCACTCACAGTAACCACAAGCTCCTCTGCTCCATTGCAACTAAATGTCCTTTACTAATTGACATTTTACATCATCTCCCTTCTATTGTACATCCATTGGACTGCCAACTTCAACTTCAAATTTTCCCGTTTCTCTCCGCCACCCTGTACAATCTTTCGGGAATCATCAGGTTGCAATACAACACTGGGATCACCAAGACATGGTAATTTGAAATTCTTTTTACACATCCAATGTAATACATTCCTGTCCACAACTGATTCCACTGCCATACCTTCCTCAACATCATACTCGCTAAAAGAATTCTTTGGTATGTTTATTATAGGTTGAAAGTCATTGACTGATGATCATTGAATACATAATTATCATTCTCAGAATCAATTCGTTCTGTTGGGCTAGGTGAAGGAAAATTTTTGGATTGTTGAATTTGTGTTAAAGCATTAGCTATAAATAAACTAAATTTTCATGCCTAATGCACTATGATTCGTAAAGTGTTTTAACAGTGCTGGCTGAGAGTTGTTAATACAGACAGAAAGTGTGATTTTACAATTTTATGCAACTGTTATTGATGCAAGAAAGTATGTGCTGTTGTAGCACCACTAGATAATATTTTTTGTACTTACTAGGTATGACTTTCTCCAACATGTAAGTAGGATAATGCTTACATTCACGAGCAATATAATAACCCACAGACTTCAAGTCGCTGATAGGTGGGGTCACTACACGCATTGTCTCTCTCACAATTTCGGTGTCAACTTCATAATATCCTGAAATAATAACATACTCAGCATTTATTAAGGTCTCTAGATATTTTTAAAAAGATTAAACAAGACCTATCTTTTATGATCAATATTTGAGAATTGGGTAAGTGCAAACTGATTCTAATGAAAAACAATTGAAGAAATAAACATTGCAATCAGAATTCAATAGGTAATAATACTGCCTATTGAATTGTCAAGTATTAAATTACATATTATATAATTATGTAAATCCATACCATCCCACATCTTCCGAACAAGATCAAATAGAGAACGAGGAGGCAAAACTCTATGGCGATTCAAAGGCATCACAAAACATCGTCGATAATCAAGATCTATTATTCCAGTCTTATTCTGGAAAGAAAAATAGTATCAATACAATTTTTAATTAAACCATGGAAGAAAGAGAAGAAGAATAGACTCTTTCCTCTTTGATTAAGCTTGTGATAAAAATCAAATATTTATAGTCAGTAACATAAAAAATTCAAATAGAGATTATAAAATACAAATAAATATTAAAACAAGTTAAGGATCTCAAACAAAATAGAAACTTAAGCCACATATTAATCTTGTTCTGATTATAATGAAAACTTCAAAAACAATTTCACATCCACACAAAAGCAGACTTGTTTTATGCAAGACAGTCAAACCATTTCATTTGAAATTTATAACTGAAAGAAAATCAAATAACTCCAATCTTACTCCTACAGTAGAATGAAGGTTTTATACATTTTAAATATCAGAAATGAATAAATTAGTTTGATTGTATGTATCACTAAAGATTCATTCAGAGACTGGCTCACCTCTTTATGCAACCATTGGCAAGTCATTCACAATTACCAACAAAAATTTGAAATTACTCAATAAGAAACAATCTTCTGAGAAAAATATGGCATACCGCATTAAAATCATGGATGAAGCGACCCCTTCGTGCACCTCGGAAGTCAGGGACATCTATCTTTTCAAAATCATCTGTTTCCAAATCCATTTCAAATTCTTCTTTCAGAAATCCTGTGTAACGGTCACCCTCCTTACCTCGCATCATGTTCTGTGGGGGAAAAATTATTCTACTTTATTCTGAGCAATACAGTTTATAGTATTAAAACAAATTATATCATGATTTCAACATATAGTAGTTTATGAAGTTTAGTGAACAGTTGATTAAAAAAATTAATAATAATATGAGGATGCGCACAATGTGCATAGTTTATTCCCTTTGCTTTTTGATATAGAGAATATTGAGGTAGTCAAAATGTTACAATGTGTAAATGTAAAATTTAATTAATAGTTTTCGTGTCTTTTTTAACAGTTGAATCATTGGATTCTGAAAAAAAGTTTAAAATTATTAGTAAACCTCTTAATTCTATTTCATAATAAATACATAACAAATATTGCAACATTAGTGAAATTACGATGTCCAAGGAATTATTGACAGTGGAATTTTTGTTTAAAAAAGTTGCACAAATAAACAACAAAGAATAACGTGTTTGCAACTGACAACCTCACATTGTGAAAAGCTTATTGAAAGCATTCCAAAAGTCGCATTACAAATTACCTACTGCTTTTACTTTTGAACAGGATCAAAAACTTAAATTGAGGCAAACACTAGCAATTGACCTAGCATTTTGGTGAAAGTTGACACAGTAAGCAGTATTTATCTGTGAGCTAATAGTCTATGATAAGGAAATTGTGTTCACATTTCAAAGAAATCTACTCCTTTTAATTTTAAATACATACTCCTGGTCGAATTCGATCATCCTGATACAAAGATGACTTGCTTGTTTCGTAGGGAACACTGCACCATCCACGAAATCTTTGCATCTGAAAAAAGCAACAAAAAGAAGAAATTATTTAACAAAATGACTTATGAATAAATAAACATTCACCCATGGCAAAAATGATAAACTGATAACATTAAGAAAATAAACAATTCAGAAGGGAATCAAAACATGGAGAAATTACATTTTATGAAGCAAGATGAAAGGCCAGACCAGTTTTTTTGAACAATGTCACTACTTTTGAGTTGTAAAATTATAACAACTTTTAATTTGTTTCCCTAATTGATTAATATAAGTGAGTATTTTGTATTCATAAAGCAAAGTTTATAATAATTACTTCAATTTGAAAAACTATATCTTGAAGTTTACCTGTCATTTTACAATAGAATATCAAAAAAAAAGTTCCATACCTGTGATCTGGCGAACTGACGGTACAAGTACACCCCACCAATAATTCCAATACTCATTACCAATAAGGCTGTCAAGAAAAGACATACTGTAGTAGCCGAAGACACCCGGCGAGCTCGGGTTCTTAGAATGAAATACTGGGGTTCAGTTGCTGCTTCCAAGTCCACTTTAGGTGGCTAAAAAATGTTAAAAATATCATGGAATAATGAAAACTACAATAATAGATACATTTTCCATTAAATATTCGATTATTACTGGATGATATATCAAAATGCAATTCGTGGGAATTTTTATTTAATATTTTTCTTTTAAACCGCTTGTAGACATGGAGGATTTAAAGGAAGTTCCTTTGACGTTTCAAGCAAAACTCGACAAAATTTACATACCAAATCTGGAATATGTTCATTCTCCACCAAAGGTTCGTCTAATTTATCGGATATTTTCTTTTCACAAATGGGCTTTGTTATAACTGTCATCTTGCTATTTTCACAACAATACTACAAATAATTTGTCCTTCGAAGCCTTCACTCACTCACCCCACTCTCCTCAGAAATCGATGCTCTTTCGTTTCGTTTTCCCTCTACTAGAGTGCAGTATATACAATGTCACTATGGTCGTCAATTTGTCACTTTAATTATTGTCCATCATGCAGTTTCTTCATAGTAAATAATGTACAATGTTAAAATTAAAATTAAATGTATTATTAATTATTTATTTCCTGCATGTAAGATTTATATCTCATTCAAATAGAGTTTTTCTAAAATAATGTAAGCTCTTCTATAAAACAGTTCTATTCATTGTTTTATGAGAATTGCGTTATTATCAGTCGTTATCATTTTGATTGAATCATTATTTATAAGTATTAGTAAAACCTACCACCATTACATTTTGATTTCTTTTTGTATCTTGCTTATAATATTGCACTATTCATTGGAATTTTCGTACTTGATTTGCGATAAGTTTTGACGAATTTTATGATGTATACTCATTATTATTTGTTATTCTAATAAATATTTAAATGTACTCTTTAACTATCATTCTTACTGGGGGAAATGGAAAGTGTGCAAGATTTCAAGTGTCTACTACTTTCGTTGAGGATATAGATTCCGAGAGAAAATAACTTTGATTGTAGATTCCATGTCATCAAGCCCGAAGTTTGTGATAGATCCTTAAGGGTGGGGAGGTCCTGAGGAACAAAAACGTCTTGTATCCATCTATGCATCTTTTAGGACTATGTCAAGTCTGAAAATTGGTATGATTATTACTTGAGGTCTATTGTTTATGTACTTTGCCAAGTTTTTGGTGCCTAAGCATGTGAAGGCTATGTTTCATAAAATCGTTCCCAGGCCATTAAATGCCAAATTTTGTGCATATTCTGACGATTTTCGTTGTTGAGCTTTTTTAGTAAACTTATATATTTCAGAAATATAAGAACTTTCGGGAAAAATGAAACATTTTTCGGAATTTTCCCTTAATTTTGTTGCTTCAACTGACATTTGGTCTGTAGTACTGTTGGCTCATGTAATGACATTATAGTCAAAGTATGTATTATTATTTAATTATCATCATTATCTAATTTCGTTGGAGCGGTTGTATTTTACAAACGATTCAACTTCTATACATATATTTATTGTAACACTTTTTCTGTTGATTTATTTGGGTTTGTGAAGCTGTCCTGCTCTGTGACATTTCTAGAAAGTGAATTTTTTTATTTGAAATGAGTATTTTATGTTGCTTTTTTATTTGTTTCTGTTAAATAAATTGATTTCAATTTCTGTTTATTTCTTCAGTCTTTTTTTTTTATTTTCTTTTTTAGTTTCCATTTGGTAGATACATTTCTACCTTTGTAGATATGAGTTGACTGCAAGGTGGCACTAAGCTGTTAGCTTGAATGTATGGGGGTGGAGAGCAATGTTGGAATTGAGATCGCTGCGTGCTGCATCTGAAAGTAGAGAAGGAAGTTGGCAAACAAAGAGCAGCATTCGTTCCCCAGCTTACTACATGGCAGCTATGAGGCATGGTAGGAATGGACTTCAGTTGCCACCTGGAGTGAAGTTTTTTGTTTGCTTCTTCAGTGGCATTTTCTCTATGGGCACTTAAAAGATATTTATTTAAGTTTACACCATGTTTTGTTTTGTTTGACAGCTTGGCATGCTAGAGCAGTGTTTTTATGTCTTGTTTTTTGACGTAATTGTTTTATATTTCTGAATTGCTAAATGGATACAAATTTGATTGTAGGCAAAACTAGCCAAGATGATGTCTGTTACGTGGTTGCAAAGTATGATTACACAGCACAAGGAGCTCAGGAATTGGACCTTCGGAAAAATGAACGCTACCTCCTATTGGATGACTCAAAGCACTGGTGGAGGGTACAGAATGCACGTAATCAGGCTGGCTATGTGCCCAGTAATTATGTTAAAAAGGAAAAACCATCCCTCTTTGATAGGTGTGTAAATAACGTGAATTGTATAAAGCTACTGCTTTGTTTTAATTAATGTCTAAATTGCATGCTTTTGCCTTATAATTGAATTCCTTTAATTCTTGTCATCAGTACAGTACATGCTAGCTTTTTAATGTGAGAAAAGGTTGCACAACTTTTAGCCCGTATTCACAAGTTTCTTTTATCTTTGCCCTAACAGCTTTATTTAAGTTTCCTCATTGTTTCTAGCGCAGACTTCTATACATTAATAGCACAATGAAAGTATACAGATATCGAGGTAAATGTCACATCTAGTAGGTTTGAACATATTCAGGGTCAAATCTCTCTTCAATTGCTTTCCCATTTGTGCATATCTTTATCTAATGTGTTCTCATATTCATATTAATGGAATAATTATATCTCATTAGTTATATCTCAACATTGGTCATAATTCAACAGAAAAGTTAAAAAGAGTGAGAGAGAGAGATTGTAGTCTTTATATTAAGCCTTACATGCCTTGAATTAAGTGACAATTGTTATGTAGCACACAAAAATCGTAACTCGGCAGTGCTGGAGAGAAAGGAAGAATGAAAAAATCATGCAATAGTCAATTGTCTGGTCATAAGTAAGTAGTGATTTTCAATTACACTTGTGTGACAGTACTAATCACAAGCTTCTTGCTCAAGTTTAAAGCTAAAATATTAATTTGGTTATCACAGTTTTCATTGCGCTGAATTGTGTTTGAAGGAGTTATTTTCTAATGAAGAAATTAGAGTAGATAAGAGATTAAAAAAAAATTTTTGTCATCATCTCTTCTCTAATTTTTTTATTGGAAAATAACTGGTAACGGAAAGAATATTATAGTTTGTGGTCAATCTTCTGGTTTCTTATTGCTCAATTCCATTTTAATTATAATTCAGTTTCTTTAGTTTGAGGTGGTAGAATTCAAAATACTTATTTCATATTAATTAGATTACCATCTGAAAATTGAATGTATTCTGTGTAAAATTCATTACTTAAATTTGCCAGTAATTGTAGATGTTTTTGGCAATCATCATCATAAAAAACTGCAAGTTGCTAGCCCCGATGTCTATTCCTGGTTCCCAGTAGAGAGAGGCTTACACCTCCAGGTGTTCCTGATCTAGCCATTTCTTTTGTATTCTTCCCAAATCCCTTCTCTCTTTTGGTTGGTACTTCAACACTGCTTTTGGTAATCTTTCTTGTTTCATGCTGTGAATGTAAGAGAGACATTTTCTCAGTCCGTTCTTTATTTCTTCTGCTATATTTTTTGTTTTTAGCCCGTTTGTGATGTCTACTCCTTTGCCTCTCCTTTAGTGTCACTCCTGCAAGTTGATGTAGAAATATCATTTCCATTGTCTTTGTTGCTTACTACTTATCATTGTCCAGACTTCTTGTCTCTTTAATAATATTAATCATTGATGTTGTACATCCCTTCCAAAGGAATATACACTTTCCACTTCTTCCAAAATTTCATTCCTAGAAAGCTATTACAAGACGGTAGACATCTAAATTTAATAACATTTGATTTAATCATCCAGAGTGCACATAAACTGGATTATAACACGTGTCAGGGAGTTCCAAGCAGTGGCTCACAGTATCGAATTCAATTGGTGATGTCATTTAGTGATGCAACATCAATGTTCAAAATTAAAACATCGATGTTTTAAAGGTGGTTTAGTAATCTTTATCATTAAATTCATAGGCAACAAAATTTTATTTTACTGGACCAGGTTTATTAATTTGTAATGAAGAGTAAACTGAAAACTAAACTAAAAATAATAAAAACAGATAAAAATACCCAACCTCAAAGGATGAGTATCCACAGTTATCTCAAGAAGCCATTACTGTACTCAACTGGAACAGAATATAAATTACTGCACCTGTTCGATTTTGGCTCTGTCTCATCCATAAAAAACACGTACAAACTAATACAACGTTAAATGGGCAGAGACGGAGCCAACTCACAGGTGGTTCAACTACATAAAAAGAGACCAGCAGATAGCACTCTGCCCTGGAAGTTTCTTGAGTATTAGTAATAAATTGAAAATTGAAGGACTAAACACTCATTCAAATGAATTACTTTTAAGAAAAAATATTTTGAAGAAACAATATTTTATTCACATTGATGGTGAAAATAGTCTTTCCTTCCTTTTAGTTGGTGGTGCCCTGGCACACTAGCCTTATCCTACAAGCCATCACTGGTTTCAAGTATTTCATTTAAATTTAATAGTAAAATATGTTTGAATCTCATTTTAACCAAGTGCTTTCCTTTTTTGTGACTGGATTTTAATTTTTTATTTGTTTGTAAAATAACAGGTAACTAAATGAATTAATATCAGTCTGAAAAAATATACAATAAAAAGCATAATTGGCTTTTGGCATATAGGAATGCTCAACTGAAACATTTTTACATTGCAAGATATTTGAGACACAATATTGTTAAGAAAAAGTATACATTTTCATGACTCGTTTATAGCATTAGTATTTAATACAATAATATATTTCATTTTTCAGTTATTCACACAAGAAGATAAATTATTGAAAACATTTGTAACTTAAAATAAAAAATAAATGTAAAATAAAATGAAAAAATTAACTCTAAAACTAATGTTAGTACATATTATGGAAATAATTCCCAGTGAAATTTTCATACTGAATTTGTCCGGAAGAAGACTTCTTCGAATTAACTAAATCTTGACTAAAAGCTTGGAAATTTTCACGTTGGTGAAAATGTCCACCATTCAAGACAATGATCATCGATGAATCGTGAATAATGAGTGCATTAGTTGCCTTTTTTATCCAGATACTGTCTGACCAGTCCTTCCGTATCCCTTAATGTCTATGAAGAGCCATTTTTTCCTCGTAATAAAAACTTTCCTATCCTTCCTTTCCAGCCATTTCTGATGTTCTGTATGGAGTTATTAGGAATGCAAAGCACTGAGGAGTCAAACATTCATTCTGCTTGGTCATAAGTTAACCCAAGGAAATGTGAATGTGTTCATGGTGGAGCCAAATCAGGGCAGGGGAGTTCCCTGACATATAACAAAAATGAAAATAAACATTTGAGAATTTGAAACTTTCTGGAACTTAGTATCAAGATTGTATCCCTATTTTCTTAACAGCTCATAAATAAACCTTACAATGGATTTTGGGGTCTCAGCTCCTCATCTATAAGGATTTGTAACCAAGTGCCACACCCCTCCCTCGTCTGAATCATGGCCATGTCTGTGAACATGTTCCTTGATAATTTCCCCTTATTGCATGCTCATTCTTAATTGGCTTCGGCAAAAATATGCTTCTCATTGTTTATAGTTTCACAACCAATAACCATACTTACTGTTCATCCTCCATATTGAAAGTTTTAGTGAATTACCTTATAGTTTAGTTCATATGTCTGTCTGAATTAGTATTTGTTTCTCTTTTTTAACTTGCTCAAATATGTCAAGTGATTTGTGAATTATTAAATTTTTTAATGTGACTCTACATTACCTTAAATGTAATGATTCCTCATGGATTTTATTTGTGCAGCATAAAGAAGAAAGTGAAAAAAGGTTCCGGTTCCAAGACCCTTCCTTCTAGTAACTCCCCTTCACGTGCCATTGAATCACCAACAATGGGTCGTAGACTCCCTGCAGACCCAGCGGAAGCCATAGGCACTGCGGTGGTGAAGTACAACTATCAGGCACAACAGGCTGATGAGCTGTCGCTGGTGAAGGGTACACGCATCCTTATTTTGGAGAAGAGCAATGATGGCTGGTGGAGAGGACAGAGTGGGACCCAGGCTGGGTGGTTCCCCAGCAACTACACCCAGGAGGAAGGGGATGCTGATGACACACTACACACATACGCCATGGCAGAGAATGTATTAGATATTGTTGTAGCTCTCTACTCCTTCACCTCAAATAACGATCAAGAGCTGTCCTTTGAAAAAGGTGACCGCCTGGAGATACTCGACCGCCCCCCTTCTGACCCAGAATGGTACAAAGCTCGCAATGCTCAAGGACAAATAGGACTAGTGCCACGAAACTACTTACAGGTGAGTTCTTCTTAATTCTTAAAGTCGAGAATAGTTTTGGCTAAGCAATCTTAGTCAATATCTCCTAGATTATGAATGCCTACCACCACTTTGTATGATTTTATTTATTTTTAATAGTCACTCGGTCAGTAAGTGTAAAAGCACAAAAGTATACAGATGTGAATAGTTTATCAAGCTCTTTACAATGAATTCGCAATGTTTTGTAAACATTTTGGATATTGAGTAATGAAATAATATTTTAACCTACAATATTCAAAATTAAAAAACAAATTCACGTTAAAAACAATTCGAGAATAAAGTTGAACAAATAAATATATTGCCAATGCCAAATTGGAAATTCTTGACTGTGGAATTTGCTAAATATGCCAAATTAAGGTGTGTGTTGGTGTTGTCGGTGTGTGTTTTGTGCTAGTAGACCCAGCAATGCTTCGCTATTGCAGTGTGTTACACATCACACACTACTGCTCTCATGATTGTAAATCTTGTTTTGCACTACACTGTGCAAAAATAATAATAGATGAAAGACATTCAGTGCAGTGAAGATACGCTTAATCCTTGATAGTGAAGCAGGTTGCAGAGTTCAGGGGCAGTTGAGTCATCATAAACTAATAAAACAACATCACCCCCACGTGTCCAATTTAATTCAAACCACTCTTTGATTGCTTTCAGTACTAAAGAACAAAGTGCGAAAATTTCAGCAAAATTGGTTAAGTAGTTTTGTGTCTATGTGTGACACACTTATGCATATTCCCATTTAAATAGATATCCACAAACATAAAGGACAATCAATTTTACACGGAAAATTATGTACAAAATATTAATGTAAGAAAAAGTTGGAAGTTCCCTGAATATGTCCAATATTACATTCTGCCTTTCAGTTTTCCAGTCCACAAGTGCAAGGAAAAACATAAGAAAAACATTCTGGCTAAGTGAACCAATTCCAAATACAAATCATAAAATATTAGCGATTTTGTGTTCATTAAATTGAATAACAATGTTATTTTTCTTTTGTATTAAAGATTTTGTTGTAAACAGGACTGAGATTTGTAAGTAATTACACATTTTTTGGTCACTAGTTACAATAAATCTTCAGTCATAAGTGTGTGTATTAGGCTTTTTGAAGTGATTTAAAACATGTAATTTCCCCCTTTTTTTTCAAATTTCCAGGTACAGTACATATTTGAAAAGCATTAGTTTCTTGGCATGTTTTAACATTTTATTGGAAATGCCTTCCGTATTGTACTCTTTCAGAATTGTTCTGGGCAGATCATTTTTAATTGATCTGGTATATCATTTAATAAATGTTCTAGGTTACTGTGAGTGCGCTGCACAAATTCTTACAATTACCTGTAACTTGAACACTGACACATTAAATAATACAAACATGTATAGATTATTTACTAAAGTGAAAAATAATGAAAAATGATTAGGATAATTGTGTCTTTTCAACAAACACTTTTCTAGAATTGGGAAAAGGAACAAAAATCACAGAATTCAACATTGTATTCTTCCCCAATTTTATGTCCAACATAATGTTAGTTTCTGAAACATCTTCCAATAAAATCCTCAGAAAAGTCAGTAAAATTAATACTAAATATTCAGCTGGTGCAGATGAATTTCTATATTGTTTACTCAAAACTTGGGTGCCGGCCTTTGTGCACCTGTTAATTCACATTTTCAATGCTGCTTTATGTACAGGAATATTACAAGATTTTTCAAAACAGCAAAAATTAAGCCTCATTTTAAAAAAGGCAAAAAAAAAAAATTTTTTTTATTAGTGGCCAGTTTCTCTTCTGGTCAGTTTTCTCAAAAATATTATTGAAACTTCTATATTGGAATGGAAATCTTTCTCAGGGAAAAGAAGTATTTTCAAAATAAACATATATTTAGAGAATCAAATTCTATTTGTGGCTCTATTAGTGGAGCAAAATGAAGCACCTCTTGAAATATTTTTAGATAAACACATATGCCATTCAACATTAACTACATGCATTTGGATGATATTAAACACATTTCTGGGTCTTTCAACTCAACAAAACTTGAATAGAGTATCCATAAAAGTGAATGAACCATGAATGTGTGTCCATAAAAATGAACACTAAATTACGTTGATAAGCTTGTGCATTTAGAATTCTTTCAAATTCAGTCAGCCTGTATCTTCCCGCCTGAGAAATGGTAAGAAATGCATCTTACAACACCTGCACTTTTAGATTGCAGAAAAAATTGTTTGAGTAATAAGCAAATACCATCTACATAATTCCTCCCAGCCTCTCTTCATTGCATTAGGAATGTTACCATTGCTTGCCGGTTTATTTACGAATCTGTAGATTTTGTCAAAACTGACTTACAAATATGGGAACGAATTTTCGTACTATGCAGATGTTAATTATTACAGAACCCATCATAGGAGTCATATTCATCTGGTGTCATACCTCACTACCAGACATGTACAATACTTTATAATATACTGCCAGATGACATTAAACAATTAAAATTAATACACGAGTTTCAGTGCCAAGAAAATCTCTGTTTGATGAGTTGTTTCTATACGTTAGAAGCTATACTGAAGAAGAAGAAATCAAAAAGAACAATAAGATTTACTTTGTACTGTATAATTTTAAAAAGACTAAATTTGCTTCTGACAAGTCACATCTACAACTTCTTGGTTAAATGACTTCAATCTTGATTGGGTTTTTCGTTCAGTTTCCCTTCACAATGTGGTCGTTTTTTGAGTTCTCATTTTGTTACTTGTGGTAGGAGTAGATCCATTGAGCAAATGCTGAAGTGGCTGCTTGTTTTGTTTCTAGCCATTATTGTAACTTCACTACATGAGTTTTTGTTTTCTTTGCTTTTTGAGTTCTTGTTTTGCTACTTGCGGTAGGAGTAGAGCCAGGAGTGTGGTTCGCTAATTGGTGTGTAGTAGTCTGAAATCTAATCTGTAGTTCGTTGACGGATGCAACTAAGTTTTCTATGACTGGAGCCAACGTTTGTAGTTTTCAAAACCGCTAACCTCTCTTGTTTGTACTTTTATTCATCATAAGTAATATATAGTAAATGGGAGGGAAAGAGATTCTGGAACCCAAGAAAAAGTGCAGAAATTCTGCTCCTCCCCCATACTTCACATACAATTTAGACTGTTTGATAAAATAAATTAGATCAAATTTCATGAAACCTTTGTAAACTTAAAAGCTTAAATGATTTTTAAAGATAATTTTCTAAATTCCAAAAGTTTTTATTGTAAGGAGGGGTTGGATTGTGCATTTGAAAAAAAAAAAGTAATAAAATTTTCCCAAAAATGGCTACAAGTATTTTCTTCCAAAATTTTATTTTTGGAAAGGGTCCATTCCTCTGATTTGTTATCAACATCATAAATCCTTAATTTATTCATAAATGGGACATACCCATAGAAATTAATGAACTACTAAGAATCATCTATAATCGATTTTTAGATCTCATGATAGCACGTTATATCATCGACCATGAAATTTACTTATTATGTCGTGCCTCATTTAAGGCTCCAATTCTACCGCTATTTTACTTTGGAGAATTGATACTTTGGAAACACCTCTTTAAACTTTTGTAATGATTACTTTTAATTAATAGTACTTGTAAATTTGTTTACAGGAGTTAAGTGAGTATCTTACTCAGCCATACCGAAACCGAGATACTGGGAGTGATCGTCAAGATTCCTTAGATCGGCGTACTGACACAGGAAGCATGCGTAGTGTAGACAGACCACACCTCATTGGTAAACCCTGGTATTACGGAACAATTACCAGGGCCCAGTGTGACAATTTGTTGAATCAGCATGGCCATGATGGAGACTTCCTAATCCGAGATAGTGAAACAAATGTAAGTTCAAATCTGCTTTTCATATTAGTGTATATTGCTTTACATATTGAGGATTTTACTTGTTGAATTATATCTCAAGAATTGTCAATTTCTTTTTAATTATATACAAATAATCGGCTCTGAGGCCACATAGAATATGCATGCATCAAGTTGAAACTTATTGTTAAATGATTTTCATTGATTATATGTCGTTACCTACAAATTGTTCATTTTTATAATCTACATTCATGCATAATGTAAATTGTGTTATCCCCTGTAAAAATTGGGTGATTGTTATTAAATAAATTATAGCTTGTGTCTGAAGAAACCTAATTTAGACATCAATTCTAGAACTGATCTTCACAAACAATGAATTTCCCTTCTCAACGCCTACCATGGAGAGCCCTATTAGAAACAGCGATGACTTTGTTGTAATAATTAAAATGCAAATCAACCTATGTATATGGCGGCCAATCGTTGATTGATCAGAGAAACTACTGGTGTAGAAATTTTGATACCATCGGAAATAAACTCCTGCAATTGAACGCAATTGGCAGACCCTTAACTCAGGAATTGTTAATGCCTTGACCACTTATTCACCACTGCGGAACAAAAGATTGCCAGATCTAATATTTTTTGTTATACCACACTATGGAAAATATGTAGGAAAATTAATAGTTTTGAGATAAATCTTGATTGTTCTATGACTCAATTAAAAGATATCATATAAACCCTAATTCTAAACAATTGTAAATTCTGATGTGTTATATGTATTAAACTTTGTAATTGGGTGACTGCCTGTACTTTTATATTAATTAATTAATAATATTTATAATAAATAAAAACAATCAATAGAACTAAGACATGGAAAAAAAGAATACTCCGATTGATATGTAAAATGAAAAGATTATGAACCAAATTGAAAGTCGCCAAAATATATCCTTATTATAAATCACTTTGCAACAACATCATTAAAAAATGCTTCTTCTTTAGACAAAAGTACAAAGAAGACTTAGTTTAAAAGAAAGGCAAGAAATTATACTCCTACATTCAAAAACAGATTTCTTCTACTGTGTCTGCTTCATTGTGCTTTTATAAAAAAATGGTGAAACCACTTCTGATTCAGAGATCATTGCTGACACTTTTGGAGATGCATTCCAAAATTATTTTTCAGATTAGCCTGATTCCACTCTTCAACACTCCACCATGAGGAGAATATTTGGAAGACATCACTCTACTATACAAGTCATTATCATCCATGAGTTACTCCCATCTCTTGATGTCAGCTCTGCTGCTGAGACAGATGCAATCCTTCGAAAAAATTCGCTATCAAACTTGCTCCAACCTTACTTAAGATTTTTCAATAATGTTTAGATAAAGATGTACTGCCAGCAGATTGGAAAACTACAGACATTGTTCCTATTTGCAAGAATGGAAGTAAACTAGTCCATGATACCTTCTGTCCAACTCAACTTGTTAGATCTTTGAAAAAATATTTGCCAAGTGAATCCAACTTTGTTCCAGGAAGGTTTCAACAAACCTGCTAGTTTCTCTTTCTGACTGGACTAAGAGCCCTGAATAACAGGCTTCTAACTGACATAATTTACCTCGACATTTCTAAAGCATTCAATGAAGTACATCACAAATTATTTATTTTTTATTTATTTATTTTTCAATATATAAAGTCCTTTGGTTTTCCTTTAAGACAGGACTATTTGTGATGATATTAATAAGATATGGCATTTTTATAATTAATACTTTTTGGTAGAGATGTAATAGAATCAACAAACATATATTTATTCTCATGACTTACAAAGCTATTCTGTAGTTCCATCATGTTATACATTCTAGCTCCAGAAGAATATCTGTTGTTCAATGCGGGTTTGTATAATAGTTTGCTTGTATGAACATTAATTAAACTGAAGAACCTTGTCTCATTTTGGACCTGATCTCGGAGTCTCACCTGTGATAATAAAAAAGATGACTGGACTATTCCCTGTATAATTTTTATAAGAAAAATAATTTGATAAATTTAGTCTATGTCTGTCAATACTTTTCAATCTCCTGCCAATCCTCAAAATATATACTAGAGTTCTGTTGAGAGAAGTAGTATCATAATGTATGTGTGGCTTAAAAGTAAGCTATCAAAATACGTAAATCTCCCTTCATTACTTCACAAACTCAAACATTTCAGAATAACAGGCAAAATTAAGCATTGAATTTAATCCTTCCTGCGAGGCTGAAGTTAATGTGTTAAAATAGGAAGTCAGAAATCATCTATTAGAAGAATCAGTGGTGGGTTCCCCAGGGTTCTGTTATGGGTTCTATACTATTTATTTTGTACATCAGCAATCTCTATTAACAAGACCTCCCACTTAATGATGTTTGCAAACCTGTTAACAAACCATGACCAAGACGGCCTTGACGCTGTGTAAGAGTAGTCCACAACATGGATGATTCTATTTAATGATTCAGAGCACCGTTATGTTTATAGGCAAGAATAATCCAAAGCTTTCTCATTGCCTGTACAGATATGCAGATGCTCATGTTCATGTACAGATATGCTGATAGTCTCAATGGTCATGGAGGATCTTCGTATCATGGTCAGAGATGATTTGAAATGGGAAATCTACATTTCATGTGTTGTAAAGAAAGCTAATAATGCCATGTACACCCTTTGATTTGCTCAAAGGCGACTCCTTCCTAGAACATTACTGCTTTGTCCTTGGAGGATCAACTATCACTAATTTGATTATCCCACTCGCTGCATGGACAAAGGCATTGGACCCACGGATCTGTTCTACATGGACTACGCAAAAGTATTAGACAAAGTTCCCCACAAGTGACTAATTCACAAATTCGAATTGATGGGGGTCAAATGCAAACTATTAGTATCAATCTAAAATTTCCTCTCAAACAGAACATTCCAAATGCGCAAGCTTCCACTCCTTGAAAAGTTACAAACAGAATACCTCAAGGATCTGCCTTAGGACTTCATCTTATACACATGTGATCTTGGTGACATAATTATTGAAATATGGATTTGATATTCAGATGACACTAAACTATTTGCAATCCCACTGACAGATCATCATACTTAACAGAATGATATTACAATGGAAAACTGGGTGAAAACTTGGCAACTCGCACTAAAACTACCCTACACTATTGCAAATCAAACTCTGGACACCACAACGCAACAAAGCGACTTAACTGGAACACTCAAGTCACCTCAGTGACCAAACAAGCAAACTACATGCTATATATGACGAGGAAGGCATTTTGCAAACTGCATAATTGAACAGTGAGGAAAATCTACAAAAACTGTATCAGACGTATTCTAGAATATGTCAACATAATCTGGTCTCCATATTATGAGAAAGGCAAACAATGTTTTAAAAAAAGAACAAAAGTGAGTCACCAGGATCCCGAGAGAAAATCACCATAATGACCACCAACAGAGGTGTCAACCATGAAAAGAGGAGAAACAGAAACCACATTAGAGAGACACATAATGTTCCATGCATGACATGATTTCGTCTTCACAAGATCTACAGACACCAGATTGAGAGGAGCCACAATAAAACTGAGGAAGGAAACAACAAGAATTGGACAAAGATTACACTTCATTGTCAGTCAAGTCGGCAACTCTTGGAACAAACTATCAACGGACTGCATTGATAAAGCAACCTTGAATGTGTCCAAAAACACTTCGGACAAACTTCTCTTCTTCTTCGTAATTTTCTTCTTCTTCTTTATTTTCTTCTTTTTCATTTTCTTCTTCTTCTTCTTCGGCTTTTTCCCCTTAGGAGCTTGCCGTTTTCACCTTCCATAACTCTTGGTTCTCCCAATCTCCTGGTTTGAGAGCTCTATCCTCCATAGCTTTCTGGATGTATTTTTCCCACTTTAAAATGGGTCTTCCTTATCTTCTCCTCTCAGGTGGTTGCCACTTTAAGATCTTGTGTAGCCATCTGTTTTCAGATATTCTCTGAACGTGGCCAAACCATTATAGTGCTCTAATTTCCAAGGTCTTCGTAATAGAACAAATTACATTCATCCTTCTCTGTATTTCTTCATTTCGCACTCTGTCCCTGCAAGCAAGTTGTAGGCATCGTCTCATGTAGTCCATTTCTACTGCCTAATCATCTCTTATTTTTTCTGTTTGTAGCCACATTTCCGCTCCACATAGTACTATCTTTTCTACTACACAGTGGAATATCCTTCTTATGAACTTATGACATCTTGGCAGATATTGTGTTATTCCATAACACGCCATGTAAAGCTTTGGTTGCTTTCTTCCCCATAATTACTCTAGAGTTCATATCTGTGGCTCATATGTTCATATCTGTACCTGAGTTTATTAAAGATCCAAGATATTTGAAAGTGTTACAGCTTTTAATTTTGTTACCATTCACGTCTATATCCGTTAATGCTTGTCCAATGCACATACATTCATTTTTATTAAAATATATTTCTAATCTTCATTTATTATATTCTTTGATAAGCTTTTTTAGCATATACACCATATCTTCTTTATCTTGAGCAAAGATTACCTGGTCATCAGCAAATAGAAGGGCGTGAAAGGTGTAGTGTCCAATTTTTATTCCCATGCCTGAACATTTCCTGCACCAGTTATGTAGGGCTTGTTCTAAGTAGATATTGAACAACATAGAAGATAACTCACATCCTTGTTTTAGACCCTTGTTTATCGGAATGCTTCCAGTTAGCTTATCTCCTATTTTAATGTGCGCTTTGGTGTTTTTGTAAAGATTTTTAACCAGGTTGATTCATTTCTCTTTTATATCAACCCTTCTCATTGCTTCATATATCTTTTTCCTTGGGACATTATTATACTTTCTGGAGGTCTATAAAGGTCACATTATTATCTCTATTTCTGACTTTGTTTCTCTATAACTTGTCTGATAGAGTGGATATTATCTAGGCATTATAGTCCTCGTCTAAATCCACTCTACTCTTCACTTAATACAGGTACATCTTCAATTTTTTTACTCAAAATACTAGAAAACAATCTTGCTGTTGATAGTATGACACTTATTCCCCTGTAATTCACACATGATCGTTTGTCTCTTCTTAAATATTGAAGGAATGTAAGATGTGTTCCATTCTGCAGGTGGATCTTCTCCTGCTTCTATCTTATTGAACATCCACATCTCCACCATATTTCAGGTGCTCCATTCTTATATTTCCTGGTCTTGGGTTTTTGTTTGTTTTTTGCTTTGCATAGTGCTTTCTTATCATCATCCTCGGTTATTTCAAAATTGTTTCCCTCCAGATTTATTTCTTCTTCTCCTTCACATTTTGGTCTGCTTTCTAGTAGAAGCATAGAGTAGTGGTGTATCCATTTTTGTGAGGGGACTCATTATTCATTTTCATTTTCTTGATAATTTTCCACGCTTCAAATGATTTATTGTGTCCTACAGTTCCATCGATGTATGTACAGAGCCAACCCAATGTTCATTTTTTTCCATTTTTATGCCTAATTTAACTTCCTGTCGAAACAAAACATATTTTTTTCTTGACTCTGGTGTTTTGTCATTTAACCATTTCATATATGCCTTTTTCTTCTCTTGAATTGTTTCTTCTAAATTCTCAGAAAACTTTTCCGTATATTTCTTTTTTCTTTCTTCTTCCCAAGGGCTTCCTTAGCTGCTTCCAAAATACTTTCCTTCAAGTATTGATACATTTCTGTAGGATTTTCCTCCTTTTCCAAATTTAATTTGTTTCTCAGTCTATTTTGGTAGAGCATTTGCTCACTATACTGGTTCAAGAGGTCTGCCTTGAAGATCAATTCCTTGTTGTGTATAAGCTCATTGTCTATTTTTGGAGCGGTTGTCTTTATATTCGTAAAGCATACCTTTCCCACTACCATGTGATGGTTGCTGGCACATTCAGGCTGTCTATAAACCCACACATCCTTTAATAGTGTTTTTCTTATGCTCTTCTTATCATTAAATCTATAATTTATTTATGTTGTCCTATGGGGTCTTCCCATGTATATCTATATATGTTTTTATGTTGGAACGTAGTATTTGTTACAACACATTCTTCCTCCCAACATAGACCAATAAGTCTATTTCCATTTTCGTTTACCATCTCTTCTCCAAAAGCGCCAACTACCTCTTTTTCATAATGTCCAACTCTACAATTTAAATCCCCAATACCAGTTAGTTCAATTTGCTTGCTCAATTCTTCCATAATATCACTAAGCTCATCAAAGAAAGCCTCTTTCTTCACATAAAGCAGTGTCGTTAAGACCATATACTTCATTGATAGTTGTACTTTGGTTCTGAATGTTTAGTTTGACTTCGATAAATCTTTCATTTATTTGTTCCAAATTTGTAATATGTTTTTTGTATTAATTACTAATAAGAATCGAGACTCTGGATTTTGCATGTGAATTTGGTACTCCACTCTATATGTGATAGTAGTTTCCTAGTACTTCTTCTCCATGCCCCTTCTTTTTGGTTTCTGTTAGGACTACAATATCCAGTTTCAATTTATCTATTTCTGGCACAACTGCAGCCTGTTTCGGTCTTAAACCTTGCATATTCCATGTACCAATGGAGGTATTCCTATTCTGTTTGGACAAACTAAAGTTTGCAAAAAATCAGTGATACAACTAAAAATGTGATAAGAAATATGACATGATTAATGAGAATTATGTTAAAATATACGCAGAAAAATTTCAGCTACATTTACAGTATTATGTTGTATCAAGTAGTTATACATGTATAACATCTTGTTGCTGCCTCCATTATTCAATAAATAAATAAAAAATAAGAAATTTGGCTGTCCCACCACAATCTTCAAGAAGAATGAACAATTTTTGAACCATTTCTTAACATCTTAAAACTTCTTAAGAGTTCACCATTTGGTCTTTAAACTACTTGTTTCGTTTCACTAAATATAGTAGCTGTCACTAATAGCTCTGGCGCTGACACTTACAGTGGCACTTGGTGTGTTTTTGCTCTTCGCTCCCTGTTAGACTTGTTGGACAGTCCTCTTGTAGAAGAATTTTGAAAAGAAGAGACGATACACTTCCTTCTCTCTTTCACTGGTTTCTTCACTTGCAATTCACAGACAAAGATGAAATAACTCCTTCCAAGAAAATCTTGTGATACAGCAGAAATTCAGTGATACGTCACACTCATTTCTCATAACTTTGCTCACTAATCCTGTAGACCTAGTATATCATTACAATACTAGGACAGAGACTTCAAAGAGAAGTGTCATGTTTGATCTTGACACAAAAGTTAAAGAGATTGTAGTTTTTGCAATTATTCAGAATTAGTATAAAGATATTAGTAACTTGATATGGTGTTTTATTTCAATTTAATTGTGTCATATTCCTGATTCATATTTTTAGAACACTTCATCTTTATTAAATGGACACTTATCTTCATTTGTCTTCAACACAAAAGTTTTGCAGTCCCAAGCTATGTGCATATTTTAGTGTATTGAATTGGATTGAATTTGCCTTATTTTACCTGGCGAGCCCGCAAATTTTGCTACACTCCTTTCATCAACTATCAGAGAAAGGAGGTATTTCTTGGGCGAGAAACAGACAATTTGAATTTAGCTCAGAGGCGTGATTTAGGCTTGAGGATCTTTTACAAGTAAATCTACTAACATGGGACAGCCGACTTTTCCTCCCCTCCAGAGGAAGGCGTACGAAGGATTTTTTCGCTCTTAAAAATCCACGGCTTTGATTGGGTTTGAACCCGCAAACTTGGGTACAGCAGTCTGGTACGCTAACCGTTGCACCATCGCCGCCGCGATGTGTATGAAAACCTATTATGTGTAATAATTTATAATATTTAATTTATGAGCTTGGATAGTCCCGAATGACTGCCTTGAATTTGTTCTTATGAACCTTTAATACTTCTTTCCAGGTTGGCGATTATTCAGTGTCCTTGAAAGCACCAGGTCGCAACAAACACTTCCGTGTGCATGTGGAAGGAGCCCTTTATGGTATTGGCCAGCGCAAATTCCATACTCTTGATCAACTAGTGGATCATTACCAGCGTGCTCCAATTTACACCAATAAGCAAGGTGAGAAGCTGTACTTGGTGCGGCCACTTCCGAAAGTCGCTAACAGCTGCTAATGGAGGCATATACCAGGGTCACATGCCTGATACATACCTCTTCTCAGCTCCCTGTGCGCTGACTGGCAAGCCCGTAACGCATGCCTGATCCTTGCATGGACAGAATTTGTATGTCCACAAGGATTTAAGTCTTGTCAAATTTATCCTGACTTAGGTCACAGAGTATAATGTTTTGTATTGGAGTGTATTGAAGAAAACTACATACCATGGAAGATGACTTACTAATTCAAAAGAAAAAAAGGACGTTATGTTGTCTCAAATATTATGTGTGTTTCACATAAGCAATTTTGAATACAATTTGTGCTTTGATAATCACTTGCTGTCTTCCTTGCTCATGACAATGGCTTGTGACAAATAGTTGTTACTACAAGTAAAAAATGTTTTGCCCTTACCACACTACATATAATTTTTAACAATTTGAAACTGCTGCCTCATTGAATAACCCTCATTGAAAGACATTATTTTTGACTCTATTCAGTGCATAATATGACTATCCTTTCCGTCAAAAAATTGTTGCCCAGATGTATAAAAGTATTATGCAATTTCAATGCCTACTATTCATAATGCTTATGTAGGTCAGACATCCAATTTAGAATATTACGTATAAAATGAATAATTAGTAATGTTTGTCATTTAAAAACTACCTCAGAAATTGTGAATGGATCTCCATCATTTTGCTAGGAAATATTTCTTCTCGATACGTCTGGCTTCATTTGGGTCTTATTTTTCATATCCGTGTCCTTTCAGTGAGATTCCTGGTTATCGTCTGAATGAGAAACACAAAATTACTCTTCCCACCTTGGTTGCTCAAAATTGTTGAAAATATTGACAATTATTTCGCTTCAGCAGGGAGTGCTTAAACTGTACTTCAGACTCCAATTGTTGAACAAGGGAGATTGTGGATTTAATGTGGGAAAATTTTGAATTTTTAGTTTTCAAAGTTCACCTCCTTTTAAGATCATTTTAAGAAAAAAAATTATATTCATTTAATTGTAGTTAGAAAAAATTCAAAACATTGAGAAGATTATACTTTACAAAATTTATCACCTAATTGTTTAAAGCTTTCAAACAAATCAAAAAATCCAAAGAAGTGTATTTGACTTATAACAAACCTGAAATTGTCAAATTTGTAATTTCTAATTGCCGGAAATGAAGTAAAAGTGCATTAATGCAAAGGTGATTTTGTAATTGCTTTTTACATGTGAAAAATAGTCCCTAAGTAGTTGAATTCTATGTTTTTGTATGTTAAAAAGCAATTATTGACTGAGTTCGGAATAGCTTGGTGTTCTGCATTTAAGCTTCATTTTGGTTCAGTAAGTGGTAAGGAATTTATTTGTTTTCATACTGAGGATTGCAGTAAGTTGGTGTTGGTATTCTCTTCATTTGGTATGTAGTTTTCTGATGTGTGACATGTTTTTTATATTTCATTTTTAGAAAAGAAGTAGTTCACAAAATTTAAAAGAAATGTAATTTATGAGAGTCAGTATCACTGGCAGTAACGAGAACATTGCACATTTTATTTTATCAAAAATTAATGAAGAATGAATGTTAAAAACCGTAAAATCAGTTAAATTTTATCATTCATAAAGCTTTGTTAGCACAATGTTCATCATGAAAAATAAACAGAATTAAGTGTGGCACTACCAGGTATTACATTATTAGTGCTTCTGATGTTTTTGTCAAGTTATTAGAATCTCAAAATATGTTCTTCCACTTTTTTCTTTCTTATATAAAGACTTTGAAATTTATTTGAAAAAAAAATAGCGCTGGATTGTACATTTATTTGGAAAAATTTCCAGAAATGGAAAGCGGTTTTATTAATTGAATGTAATGTAAATCAGCAAGTTGTCAAATTACAAGAAAACTTTTCTAATGTTTTGATTTGAAGTATTCATTGGTCACAGATCAACTAAGAGTTGAAGTAAAACTTGTGTGATAAGAACTTTGTTTCAGGAGAGCATTTCATAAGAAAGGTTTTCTTGTATTTGAAATTTTACTGATGGAAGCCCAAATCGCATTTGCTTGTGAGTTGTAAAGGGGAAATTTAATTAGGATGTGAGTTATTACCACAACGAAACACAAGTTGAGGTTCATTTTATGGAAATGAAATTTCTGCACACATGGCCTAAACTTGGTGTACATTTCCAAGTAAACTCTTGCATGACCTCAGGAAGAAGACATGAAGTTGGATCTGTGTGTAGGCAGCTTTGGGTGTATTTGATTGTTTTAATGTGTCACATTGAAGATAGTTCTTTAACATTGCAGTTGAAAGAAAAGTCACACCATCATAATCACTCATTAACACTTTCAATCCAGGACCATAAACATTAAGCAAGCTTTAAAATATCTGGCTTTCTGACCTTTTAGTTTTGTTCTTTGTTGAAACTAGTTTTTGAATTCATTTTTTCATGCCTATATTTCTACCTCTGAATGTTCACTGATTTGTTTAAAGCCTTATTTTTTACTGATTGTTTATTTCACAGATATTGTGATAAAATACATCTACAGATGAAACCATTTAGTAACCAATTTTCAAGAAAATTAGTAGATATTAAAGCTGAAAAATCATTAAATTTTGCCCCAAAAAAGTAAATATCACAGCTCTAACTACTTATCTGCTGAGGTCTGGAACTGAAAGTGTTAATAAAGAATTTCATAACTATTGATTCTAAGGTCAAAATGTTATTTGTGAAGGTGACAACCTTAATCTTACTATCTCAGTTGAAGCAGATGCACACTTTTGAACTGTGGCCAATACGAAAAGTGATAAAATTGACAAAAACTATGCTTTTCCATTCAGAGCAGATATCTCCATAGTTGTTAAGTGTGTCCAACTCTGTTGTTTGTCTGCCTGGATGGCCATTTTGTGCTATTTCAATGCAGCAAAATTATCTTCTGAAACTGTTAGGTGTGTTATCGTGTAGTATTCATATCAGCTGCAAGCATGAAAGGAACTGAAATACTATAAACAAGCTTTAAACGTTTTTTTGTATTTTCTTTAGAAACATGGCTGTCATAGCAAAACATTTCCTCCACTATTTGTGTATTGCATTCTGTTAGTTACTTCATTGCAATGAATGAATGTGCATTAGCCTGTACTATGTAGTCAGCAGAACATCTTGCAGTAGGGACAGACCAGAAGTTTTGTTCTTATAAGAAGTAAAGTGTATTATAACCTATTTGAGTCATTGTACTTCAACACTGTAAATATTAATTGAATGTAATTTTGTGTCCTATTTTACATCAATTTTTGTCTTGTTGATTGAGAAAAGTGTGTATGTAATGTGACTAATGTATTGTCATTTGTTGTGAGTAGAATTTTTGTTTCATTATTACTGCTTAATTTGACCAATGAGAAGCTTTATTTTTTGGAAGTAATTGATCCACTGGGCAGAACAATGCTTACTCCATATTTTAATTGCTGTTTTATATATTTGTCTGTCCCTTGCAACGATATAATTGCATTTATTTAGATGTATTAGACACATTCCTACCATTCATTGTAGGCATTTCCCTGCATGTTGCAAATTAACACTGTATGATGATTGGCTGCTTTATTTTAATGTTACAATGTTGCTTCTGTGAAGTAAATTAAATGAAATATAAGATACTCAAACAATTTACTGCATTCATTGCTGCTGATAAATTATAACTGTGCAAAGTCATGTAATTAAATGTATGTTTATGTCCATTGAAGACAGACCAGCTGGAAGATGGAAGATTAAATCCATTACTATTGTGCCTTTTGTGGGTATTTTCAACCTTCTCACTTGCAAACAGGTTTCGTTGATGATTTGACAACTTTAACAATGTACTATAAGAATAAATCATGATTTACTAGTAAAAGTTTCCTATAATAGTATTAGTTGTTCAACTGCTATTACTAGAATGATTATGAAATTTGTACTATTTAGTTTGTTTAGATAAAAGAGCACAAAATCACTTGTAGGTCAACTTTTCAAATGAATTGATTTATGTTAGGAATACTCCTTGACAAGTTATCATTCACTGCCAGACTTCAAAATGCCTATGGTAATGGTTTAAGTTTTTCTTGATCTTCAGGTGCAATCTAATGTGAATTTTTACTGCAATGCAAGTGAAAAGATGTTGAGAACAAAAATTGTTTTGTTCTTACTCTTTGGTTCAGATAATGAAAGACCATTTTTGTTTCGCTCACAGTCATCGTAACATACACATGAACCCACAATCCATTGTTGTTATTTTTTTTACTATTTTGTGTGAATATAGTAAAAGAATTGTGTTAAGTGAAAGGCCAGATACACTTAAATTTCTGTTGTAATATAGTTGTTTTTGAAAGTTTGAATGTTTTCTTTTTGTTTCTTCTTCTTCTTTTTTTCTTTGCTCCTTTCAATATTTACAAATGCAATGGCTTGCAAATCTGTTTTGAAGTACTTTTTTAAAACAAAACTAAAAATTCACCCAAAACCTGCCACATTGCAGGAGGAAGTGGAGTGGCCCCAGTCTTCTTCAATGCTCATATCAGGTGGCATTTGACGTTTACATTCTCTCCATCCCTCTCCTGGCATGAATGCTTAACGGCAATTAATATATTTTTAAAATTGTGTAGTTTTTATCGTGTGTGGTATGTTTGAGTTTGTCTGGTAGTAGTATAGAATTATATATAAATATATATATATACCTACACCTTATGTGATTTTACATTGTTTTTAATGTTTATCTGTATATAAACCAGTACCTAGCCACAGTTTGCAGAAATGGTGAATTTTGGCTTGACAATTGAAGTACCATTATTTTTTTGAATGAAGAAGAAAGCTTTAGTAAACACAAGAATTTATCTTGTTTCTACTGTACAATTTCCACATAGATGCTGCTGATAGTTTTCAAATAGATGCTTTTATGGTTGAGTCCACTAAATGCTTTGATAATTAAGAAACATCACAGTTTCATTGTCATTACAATGTTTAGATTCATATGGGTATGCATAAAATCTTGTAATGACATGAGTTTAGTTTCTTGTTGAACTCTGGTTACATTTTTCATGGTATTTGCATTTTTATACTGTCATGTAAAATAATATCCATGCAATTACAAAGCTTTTTTCTCTTTCAAAATTACTTTTTTAGTCAAATAGCCCATAGTATTAAAAATAATGTGAGCAGGATGAAAATAATTTGTCTATGTTTACTGTGTATTCCAATATTAAATTTTTGCTGACATCAATTGCAATTAATTCAAACAAATCAGCCAGTAATGTGCAACACATTTGCATAAATTTTGCCTACTTAAATATAGCTCAGAAAAAATATTGGGTTGAATAATTATGTTATATTTGCTTTCTGATCCACACTGCAGACAGTTGTGGGTATTGTCCATCTTAGTCATGTACTGTATATAGTTTGTGTGTATGTACATCCTTTAAATAGTGTAGGTTGGTCAGGAGTATGTATCACTGGGTGTATGGTAGCCTGGTGGTAATGCATGAGTGAGATCTGAGAATCCAGACTTGTGATGCAGGGCATCATTTCATATAATATGTTTGCTTATACATTTTTGCTCACTTTTTGTCTGATACAGACTGCAGTCATATTTGCTGCTTTAATTTTAATATAAAAATATATATAATATGTACATTTTTCACACACACACACACATATATATATATATATATATATATATATATATATATATATATATATATAAGCAAAAGTCTTGTAATATTTTTTAATTTGCATAAATTGTAGGAGTTTTGTAATGATAAAAGGTGCAACAGTTTAATGTTTATTTATTTCTATTATGTTGTTGTATAATATATTATCTCCTTGAGATATAATCTTTTTTCCTGACTTCAAAGAGCATTTGGATGTTTGCATGTGCAGTCATCTCTTGTCTAAGCAAGAAAGAGAATATCAATGATGTCCGCCTCCCACACCATGGGTAGTATTATACAAGCCTTTGAGTGCAAGCTGACGTTTATTTGAAAAGAACGTATCTGGCATTTGTTCAAAATGTTTTCTTAAATTCTGAGATAATAGGAGAAGTATTTTATGAATCAAGTAGTTCTCTTGTAAAAGTTTGTGAGAGTCCAATGAATTTGAATTGAAATATTTTGTGACAAGTGCAAATTCTGAAAAAATGTGGTTATCCTGTGTACTGGCTTTGTCACTTGTACTTTATAAATGAGATTAATAGTTAAAGGATGATTGAATTGACTGATGAGTAGATGATCATAGTTAAGAATTAAATCCATGTGTAAAAATGTGATTGCAAGTGTTGCAGCTGTGGATGTCAATGAATTTCATATTACCATGATTTGTTTCATTGGTAATTGAGTAATGTGTCCATTAATCCAAGATTTATCTTGGACATTCATATTGTTATTTCACAATGTATTTTATCTGCCTAAAAATGCTGAGCTGTGTGCCATGGAGAAATTTGGTCCAGTGATATACTCATATCTGTGAACCAATTTGTAATGGGGATTTCAAATTTTCTGTGATCATTTTTATTTACAAGAGGGGAAGGGTTTAATATTTTTGACAAAGTACATTTGGGAGAATCACACATTCAATGAAGAAAAAACTTATAATTATTTTTTTTATTTTACGACAAAAACAGTTAACAACTGTGTGTGACTTCATTGTACTACTATTGATCATTTAGTGCTTGTGGTACAAAAGACACAATGAATTTGAAGCAAAGCCTTGTTTTGTCTTAGGAAAATGGGGTGGGGGGTGGGGGTAAAAGGATAGGGTTAGGTAATATTGCAAGTGCTGGAAAAGTGGCTGCCATAAGTGATGACCTGGCATACATTACCATATTTTCAACCATAAATTGTGTATAATTATTGTATTGTGAGCAATTCATTTGCATTTGTTTTATACTAGATATAATTTTTCTCGTAAAACAGTAAGTACAATAAAGTATTATACAATCTACATGTTACATGCCTGTATTCCCTTTTTTCTTTTCTGAGTAATAGGTATTTTGCTGGATTTATGAATTACATTTTGCTTTGACTTAAGTAATAATTATAATTGTTACTAATGGAAATGACATTTTGATATATATTTTAAAAGATTTCTGAGCAAAATTTGTAAAGCAATGTCTGTTTTTGCATTGAACACAGTATGTTAATTAAATTCAAATTCAAGTCGTAGGTTTTATCTAAATTGAAGACTTAATATATAATATAATCTCATTTAATGATTTAACTAACAATAAATAAAATGGTTTGAATTTATTATGTTCTGTTTAGGTTATAGCAAGGAAAAATAAGCAGAGTCATGTATATTTCTGCTGGTATATAAATGAGAACTAACAGGCTTCGGCAAGTGGAGGTAAATCATGATCAATAGTATCTTGGCGAAACATCTCCACATCTGCTTGACTATCAGCATGCAAGAGCTTATTTTTTTCAGGCTGTAAACAAAAACAACATACATGTTGTCAATACATGCTCTCTAGTAAGTCATAAAATTTCAACAGAATTAGAATTTAAAGTCTTGCCCCCAGCTTTGATTTATCACATTACGGATACAGTGGTTGCCTATCCTTTTGTCATAGTATGGTCACTTAAGCGTGTTGTGGATAATGTTCTAGAAGTGTTCTTTCTTAAATCTTTTCAACACAAAACTGCACTTCACTAGGAGCATTGTGGAGTTTTGTCTTGCTTTGTGTGATAGTAGTCTAAGATGAAACTGATCTTTATGTGTTGTGTGGTTTTCTTGTGTTGAACAACTTTAAACATGGATTTTATCACTTTTCTTAGACTAGAAAACTCAAGTAAGCAAAGTTTGTGAGTTAATGATATTACCTAAGAATTGATGAGAGAATTTTGAAAAGGTACCTTGCAGTCTTTGTTAGTTTCATATAATATCTTGAATATTAAGAATTTTATGTATTAGGGTCTACACTCTGAGACATTTACATGTAATACCTTGGGATGCATCAGCACAAGTGGTAGTTCTGCTGTAAGCTCTCCTCCTAAAGCACCCAAGTACAGCTTCACTTTCACGCTGTAGGAAACTATTATTCCAAAGACATCTCGCTGATCGGGAGCAGCCAACCTAGAGGATTTGAAAGAACTCCTAATGAACAAAGTATCTCAAGGACCTTACTCTGTTAAATCTCTATTTAAAAGTTGTAGAATTTATGAGGTATGATTATACTTGTCAAATTACTAGTGAGTTTTATTTTCCAACTTACAAAGTTGAAGAAGCAAGGTTTGTGTCCTGATGTTTGAGCTGCCCATCTAGTGCAATGCCACGGCGATCCTTGTTGCTATCCAAAATAGGTATTAAGTAAATGACTTTCTGCAAAGTGGACCCAGGTTGAATAGGGCAACCTTCCCTGCAAAGTTGAACCCATTTATGCTTATGAACAATTCGTCTACTTTCTGATGTTGAAGAATTGTTTTAAACTCATTGCAAAGAGAATAGGGATTGCAGATTTCATGAGTGACTCATTGAGCATGAGATTTCATTAGATGCAACTTACTGAGTTTCCATGCTTGCCACTGAAGCTCTGTACTGCCCATTCTGGAAGAGGACAACATCTACACCTTGTTGAACCATTGCTTTAATTTTCTTTACCATCTTGTTGCTGTTGTTGCGAATGCTTATATTAATTGCAATTTTTTCTCCATGATGGTACAGCTGCTTATCTAAAGTTGCTTCAAGCTCCAGTTCCCCAGGACTAAGCATGAAGTCTTTTCGAACCACAGTGCATGGTTGACGACCTTGTTTGGATGGAGCAAATTGAATTTTGCGAATTCCTAAATTAACAGTAGACCTGCAGAATAGTTGCATGTCAAAACAAATTTAAAAAGGTTAGCAAATAACTTTTGGCAGTGAAATGAATATAAATAGTACAGTTTCTGGAAATCAAATTCCAATTTTGTAGAAATCTACTCTGTGGAATTTATTTTTTGTGTGTATTTGTGTCTAATCTGCCTTGTGAATATAGTAGTAATGTTATTCATTGCAAAGTTTGACTACTTCGCTCAAGAGGTCGAATTCAAATTTCAGTTTTGTAGGAATCTACTTTGTATAGTTTACATTAAGTGAGTATTTGTGTATAGGCCTCCTAATGATCATAGTAGTAAAATATAATGCTTTATTGTAGTATGATTATAGTAGTTCATTGCAAAAGTTGGACTTAACCCTTGCTCCCGAGATGAAAATTCAAGGGAATATTATAATGCTTTTTTCAAGACAGGCAGAATTATGTGCTAAAAAGTTAATTGAGAAAATATTTCACTTAAAAATGTGCCTTTCAATGTAATTTATAAATCCATGAGAAAAAAAATTATTTCGGTGGCCAACATCTCATGACACATTAAATTTATGTGTGTAACTTAGGAGAGCAGTTGCCCCCATCTCCTCTCTCATCATTACAGGAGTTTTGTTGAAAGTCACAATTATGTAGAACTAGATGATTACCTGGAGGTCTCCAGGTATTTTTTATCACTATTAATCTATCTTGCATGCTTTGCTGTCTCCCCCCACACACCTCTACCTGGCTTGCCAGCCTTCCTACCTGTCCCATTGCTTTGCCCATTCATCCCCTTCTTGTATATCTACTCCATCTGCTCATGCTTCACTACTTCTCTTTCCACTACACCCATTCGGTTTGCTCGTTGTTATTTTTTGCTCTGTATGCTTCATCTGGTGCCCTCGGTCATGTCATCTGACAACATTGCCAGGAAAGTTTATAATCACCACAGCACTTGAGGTGAGGTGAACCACACTCCTTGTAGTTCAATAGATTGACGAACAAAAACTTTGGTCATTGAGCTCTTACATGACATCTATGATCTAAACCAGTGTGTATTCTGAATTCCCAAAAATTCATGCCTTTGGTCTGCCAGTGACACTTTCGAACAGCTACAGACACTCAATCCCTGCGAAGTAACTTTTTGTGATGCCAAATCTGACAATGTGTGAACATCATAAGCAAATTCCAACGATCCAAATGACACTTGTACACACACATTGCAAGTTTGCCATGGGGTAGGTATGTAAATGTATATTATAAATATAATAGTAATATATATTTGATGTTTGTTTTATATAAAATACGATTACCATGATAATAGCCGATACGGTTTACGCTCTCTCGCACGCACACGTCAGACTCGACGGGACTGTCCTCACCCGCCAAGACATCCTTTGGCACCTATCGCCAACCACTTACTATATTAACCCTAAGTAGCCTATTTTAAAGCTGCTATTTACAGGCCCTCCTCACGTTCACATCAACAAACCCTATCCCTGCCATTCCCACACTTGACCATCCCTGTTTCTTCCTCGGACCCGGGCGGAAGTCTTTGAAAGGTCAACTGTGAACGCTCTCCTGCACCCACCCGCACCACTTCAGGACTTGCTAGGGTCGAAGAACTTCCCCTTCATCTCAAGTCTCATTTGGTATATTGGAATGGAACCGCACATCCTTTTCTTGTTCCTTTAATATGTTCTATGTGTCTATTTCACGCAGAAGTCCCCTCTCCTCGTCAAAGACCACTTCTGTTTTATAGCGCTCAGAACTTGGAAGTCATCCTTGTGCTTCATTGGGACATTTAAGGCCTGGAATGTTGTTCCTGTCGTCTCTGGTACGTGTTGTTAAAGTATCGCTGCACTTTAGGCACACGCTTATACCACCTGTCCAGGTTGTCTAAGGGCAACTTAGCACGGGAATGATAATCCGGTTTATATTTTCCTCTTCACCGTTACCTTGGGCACACAAGTTGTTACCTATGTGTTCTCGATAACACTGCGGAAATAGCAGTCACGATTTGTCAGTGATTTGCTGGGGGTTCCCAAAAGTTTGTTGTGCGAGCCCGAGCAGCGGTTTATATGCTGTTTTGTTGTAATTCCACTAGATGGTGCTGCAGAACAATACTGCACTTCATTTAATAGAATTTCCATTCAAACTGCGCTCCATCCGAGCTTCATTGTTGCTGGCCGTTGCCGTGTGACAAAGGACCATGCCCAGGAGTACCGGATGTGCGCGCGCGAGACAAACTAAGAGCGACGGAGGGATGCAGCGAGACACAGATGGCGCGCGTAAGTAAGAGACAGAGTGATAAGAGGCGGACAAAGGCAGAGGCAGTGAAACAGAATTTGAAAAGAATTAAATTTATGCTACGACACACGGGCTTTGATGTGAAAACACATGAAGATTGGTAGACAAATTAACTTCAATTAGGGAAATGTTAGATACTTTACTGATGAAATCTAAGAATTGTTTGGCAACTAAATTCTTAATATCTTATTAATAACACAAAAAATGTTAATAATAGAACAATAGTCTATTTTTGTAAAATAATTTAGCGTCTATCATGAAAGTAGTGTGGGGGTCTGAAGACGTTAACACTTTTGCTTCAAAAAGCTACGTTACCACTGCAAGGTCACAAATGAGTCACGTGCCAGAACTCTTTCTGCCTCACAAAAGCCACATGTTCCGCGCTAAGAGGTCTTCCATCTCTTAATTCATGCTGGGGTTATGGTATATTTGCGTAGACGTTCACGAACCTGAGGAAATAATTTGTTAGTTCCAAGAATCTCCACAGGTGTTTAAAAGTTTTGGGTTGGGGAAGCCTTGAATGGCCCTTACTTTCTTTGGCAATGGTCCCCCTTCCACAACATATCCCAAAACTATTCTGGCCTGCAAGAACTTGTACTTCTTCCAATCGATCATCAAGCCATGGTCTGCTGCTACTCCAAGAACCTCTACTGGCTTTGCACAGGCATCTGGCATGTAAAGTCCGGGAAGTCAACTAGGTACACTTGAATTAACTTATGCCTCGTGAGATCACAATACCTCATCGATGATCGGCAGAAAGGAAGGGCTGTTGCACAATCCAAATGGTGTGTAGTTGAATTTTTATTGGCCACTAGGTACAACGAATGCTGAGTATTTCTTGAACGTTTCAGCCACTAGTGCATGAATAAAACTGATTTAGAACTATCGTGCTATTTTTATAATTCTCTAAAGGCCCTACTTCACGGTGGTATTATGTCACCATCACTGATTATCAAAAGGAAAAATAATGTTTATTTTAACAAAACAGTGATATATAATAAATTATTTTACATTTGTATTATGTAACTTTTTTTAAAAGACTTAATATGTTTGTAACAAATAATGTACTTCAGCTTCCGGGTCAATGACACCCATCTCGATCAGGTTTTTGTCCAGATTCCCTGATCCATTGAGCAAATACTGAGAAGGCCCCTTGTTGTGCTTCTGGACGTAAATGTAGCTTCACTATGCGCACGTTTTGTTGAACTCTCCTTTTGCTTGTAATGGTAAGAGTAAATATAAGGGCGAGTTGCTGTTTTGTTAGCAATGCATGTTAGCAAAAATCATACTGGCAATTCGTGTCCGATGCAAATAAGTTTTCTACAATTCAGAAACAAAACTGACCATTTTGCAAATATGGCTAATCTTGCGATTTTTAAAATTTATTTTTATTTATTTATGTTAAACGTTTACTCATCTTTCAACCATTTGTAGTTAAAATGACGGGAAGGGATTCTGGAACTCAAGAAAACGTGTGCAGATATTCCCCCCCCCCTACGTCACATACAGTTTTAACTGTCTTTTTTGACTGAATAAATCTAAATCTAAATCACCATTTCTCGACTTTCTCGGTCGTGCCGCTAGATGTCGCATGATTGCGACCGCATCCAGAACTGCTACATATTCATCCACGACTGCTGTACGGTCGCGATCATGCGTTATCTAGCGGCACGACCGAGAAAGACGCCAAGTACAGTGACATAATGCCACAGTGAAGTAGGACCTTGAGGGGCAGAGTTATAAAAACCTTACTATAGCACAGAGAACACGCGATCATTTACCACGGCAACGATGAGGGGCATGGGGAATATATCTCTTATCACCATTGTGTTAAGCGCCTTATAATCGACTCAGAGCAATCTTCTTCTTTTGATCGCTACTTCGTAAGCGCACCACCGAGTCCTTTACATCTTAGAGGCAGTTAGCAAGATTCACCCGTTCACCTCTTTCGAGGCCACGTGGCTTCTTACACGTGTGTGCGAGCTCTAACTCTTGATCACATTGACTTCGATAGTGCTCTACACGCCATGTGTTTTAGTACTTGCAATTTCACAATTTCAGTTTACAGTTGCGTTCCCGGTCGAGCACCAAGATTGTAAAAGGACGCAATACTGAAAGCACCTAGTTTCAAAATAAAAAGTCTCAAGCGATTGCCAGGATAATAGCTGATACAATTCATGTCCTCTCACATGCACAATGAACGAGTCTGACTACCTCTATTTCCTCGCCAGAACTGCCCTTTCCCTCCAAGAAATCCTTCAGCGTCCCTTGTTCTGAGCACCACCTATCGTCAAACTGTTACTATATTCACTTGCCCTTAACTAACCTATTTTAAAGCTACTATACAGGCATTCCTCTCTTTCACAACACTAAACCATCTCACCAACCATAAATGTTTTTAAGTAATGTCCATAAATGGCTACCCAATGTCAGAAAAAAATTGAAAACATTCCTCCCCTAAATGTTCTGATCACACTCCAGTTGAAAATTTGTGAGTAAAACATTGGAGCTATGTAAAATCACAAGCAAAAATTGAATTCCATACATTTTTAATTTTCTGCAACTTTTGATGAGCCCAACAAGACGTAACTAGATGTTTGAAGGCTGAAAAGTGTTTTATAGATAAAATGGGAAAACAAACCAATTTGTGTGTTTGTGAACAAAGCAAATGAATTTTTTATCGTAACTTGTCTTTAGAAACTCTATTTTACTCATAATTCAAAATAAGCTTCAAGACAGAGTTTGTCTTGAGCCACTTTTTCATATTCCTCTTGATAAAATTTGTGAACTGTTTTGTGGATATCTCTCCCTTTTTATTTTCATTATCTCTTCTATCTTATTCATAAACTTTACTACCTTCTATGAGTGCGATCCGCTTCGCTTTCTCCAGCAAATATCTTCACATAGTACTGCACACCACAAGGTTCCCCTTGGTCCTCTGGACCTGGCTGAAGGGTGACAGATGATGGTGCATTCTGGGGGAGATGAAAAGTGAACGGAACAGCGTTGGGCCCCAGTTTCTTGATAAGGCGTTCCTGTGAACAGGACCAAAAACAGATATAATTTCTTTTTGTGTGGATTACAAATGTTTGGTGCTTCCTTTTTTATCAAACTCTTTAACATGATATTTTCTTAAAACTAAAACTTTTTAAAGGCATGTATCATCTTTTTCCATGAGTTGCTTCATTCTTCAAGCATGAGTTGTGAAAAATGCATATAATGAAATGATATTTATTGAGATTGGTACCACGGTAGATCGTGAGTTCTCTTCCAACCAGTGTTGAGATACTTTTAGGCAATGAGTAACTTTCCTTATCTCTTTCTGTAGATAGGAAAGAAAGCCTGAGGTCTTACACATTTATGGACTGGAAAAACCTACATGTATTAATCCTGAGCACATTTTCCGATGCCCATCCAGACTCATTCTCTTTGTAACGAAGATTTCTGTTAAATTGATTTAGAAAGCGAAATTATGGCAATAAAACTTTTGATGACCAATTGTCCTACAGCAATCCTACAGCAACATCCAAATGTTCTCAAGCCATGCCGTAGGGCTTTGAGAATAGGATCCATTGTTACCGTGAGACAAAAGAAAAAGCACTGTATCTCTAGAGCGTCTAAACATTATATTTATTCTTACCTGTAATTTTGAAAGATTCTGTTCTCGCTTCTCAGGAGGTGGATAGATTTGTTCTGATGCAAGGTAAAGGTCCTTTTGGAAGTTGAGCCCCATAACTTCATCCTCTTCTCGGCCATAACGGAAACTGCAGATCACTTGTCCAAAAATTTTTCTGCCTGACAGATAGTCTGACTCCAACAGAACAACACCATCTGCACAATAGGTATTTTTCTACTTTAATGTTGGTTTTTAACAAGTTAATTTAATGGGAATCTTAGACTTACTACAGTTGGTTTCAAATTGTTTTAGACCCAACAATTTTCCTTTATTTTATCCTCAGTGTACTTGCATTGTATAGTTGAAAGAAAATCAGTAGAATGCATTCAACCCCAGCACTGCTGGGGTAAGCAAGAATGAAAACTTAATGAATATTGAGAATTAAAATTACGGTGAACCGCATGTCACTTGATAAACAATATTGCACCCACTGTATATTCTACTACAATCTTTGCGCCGTCCCACTACTCCACCCCAGCTGTGAGATCTTCGCTGGGGTTCCGAGCTGCGCGCGCATTACATTCACTGGGCCAGAGGCAGGCGGCGATCGGGGGAAGCCGTAGACGGCGACGGGGGAAGCCAGCTAGCTGGAGATAGATGACGTCACCCCCTCCCTTACTTCAAGGCCTGGTTTCGGCTGCCTCGTGTTTGCAGTACTCCCCGCCAGAAAGCATACAAGGCATCTCGTAAGTCATTGCTACCAAAATTCATCATTCTTTTAAATGGCATATTTTGTCAGTGTAAATTACTGTAGCGTTTGTCGAGAAGTTTATTTCTTATATCATGATTATGGGTCTCATATTTCTCTCTCGCTGTATGGACATGGAGAGTGAACCAGAATGTTCCGTAGAGATTTCATTAATTTTTATGAGGAAGGTAGTACTGACTCACGTGATCACTTGATTCCCCGAATTTTCGTGCAGGATTGTGCATGATGTGAAAATAATAAAAGCGTTTGGTCGAAACAAAACTAGGAAAAGAGATTTTCCGCTTTAGCCTATTAAATCATCGTTGCTTGAAGACATATGACACACACAATTTTTTAAACTATGTAGTAATTTGCTAGTCACGAAAGAGAAATGGAGTGATTTTATTGATTACCGTGAAGTTTGCAGAATTCATTTTCCTTTTCTGTAAGATACTAGAAACTTTTTCATGAAAATACGTCCTGTGTGGTAGTGATTAATTGCATGTTTATTTTTTGTTTGCGTGAAATTTATTATTTTCTAACTATTTTATGTTTCACGGTTTGGTAAAGAATCTAATGTTGCGTGACTATTTCACTATTTTGTATGCGGTTGGGGACGGGGAAGCTGGTTGGTCGCTACCAGCTGGGGTACTATTCTAAATATTCACCGCACGCACCGGAAAGAAATTACAAAACAATACCAACTGTGCAATTTGGAAAGGAATGGAAACATCAGAAATTTGATACATTTCCTTATGCTTTCTGTCCCCCAATGCATTACTAGATTAATGCAGTCATTAAGGAGATAATAAAGCAAAGCTAGTCTTTTAGAATGGCAAAATAATAGATCCATTAACAACAACAAACAAAATTCTCCAACTTTTTAAAGAGCATTTTAAAGAAATCATCAGAAAATGTAGATTTAGTTATTTTCATTTATTATAATTATAACTTTTCCAGCCCAACTCAATTACTTTCTACACCCTAATGAGATGATTGTGAACCATCCACTAGACTACAACACAGATTCTTTGGATCTGTGGTTAATGGAAAAGTCTGGTGATTCACACACAGGGAGAAAAAGCACAAATATATATGCTGAGGATGGGATATAAACTTGTGACCATGTGGATTGAGGTGCATGCAGAAAATTTATTTGGACTCTTAAGTTACTTCATACATACACGTCAGCTAATTATTTCAATCAATATTTTAAATATAATAATCAAAGTTTGAATGTGTTGTAAAGAAGTTAAAAAAATGTGTAATTATAATGGGAATACTCCTTTGGATACAATTTGATCAATATGTGGTATTTTTGAAAAAAATAAATTGAGTAAACAAAAACAGGGTGGCATATCCCCACGTCAGATTCACGACTGATTGATTGATTGATTGATTGATTGATTGATTGATCAGATTCAAGGGCTCATAAGTCTTCTCAGAATTGGTTAGTTCTTAGAACATTAAAAATTGATACAAACTAATTCATATAAAATGTTAATTACATGAAATTATTACTTTATATTACTTTAAAATGAACGAATTTTTCATTACAATTTATTTTCAGGAAAATGGGACAATTTTTGTCACAAGACCCTCGATTACAGTAATAGCTTATTTGTGTACTTTTGAAAATGAAAATGAGCGTCTTCAAAAGACAAAACAACAATGTCAAACTATGGATATTCTTACCAATAGGATCAACAGACGTGATGTGGTCAACAAAGTCTCTCTTGCCTAAGTAGAGAGTTATCTTCCCATTTGGTGATACCTTCTTGAACACTTTGAAATTGAACACCATTGTGATAGTTCTGATGCAGTTGCAACTTGAGTCAACACAAAAGTGAAGCAAAAGGTGGATACCTTGCCTATATAGATGTGGAACATCTGTCAAACTCTAGTGTGGGGCTTCATTATCCTTTTAGTACTAAAATGGATTTGTGATGTGAGCCTATTAGCTTTGGGTCACCTGTGCTTCACATGTTGCATTGACGTATTTGTGATATAAGTTTCTTTACTTTTCCACAAACAAATGTCATTTCTCAAGGTAGATTTGACATTTTAAAAAATTGAAAATAACTGAGCCAAACACGAATGTCAAAGGTAAAGTCAGAGGGAAGTTAGTAATATCTTGTTTGCAGTTTTTGCTCAATGAATTTGTTAAAAATAGTTTAGAGAGAATATTACCAAAAAAAGAAAGAGCAGGAATCAAAGTAGTACTACTTTAAAACATGATGGTACAAGATGGCCTCATCATTTGATCCTGGTACGTTCGTAATTGCAGGATTGTTGTTTGTTTCTCAGCTTGTAAATGAGCTTGATGAACTGCATGATAATGGCCCTTAATAGCTTTTGTCATTGACTGAACCTCATCGCAAAATTTCTATAATCATAAACTCATAAGGAGAACCAGGACAATCGGAGTGGAAAATTACGTTAATATTGCAATTTAAGTAGGATTATAGTATTTTATCGAACTGATTATTTTCAAAGCAGAACTCTTCTATCTACATCAATAAAAAACAAACAAAGTGTCTCTTTTAATTTTGAGAAGCTTTTGTACTTTAATATGATTTTTTTTATTATTCAAAAAAGGCATTTAGATGTATAATGATCAATTAAAAGAGAATTTTATTACTTTTTTTCTATGTGCCTCCACTTAGCATTTCAAGTTTTGTCATTTGGCAAAAAAGAAATAATTAATCAATCAAATATACAATTCTGAATTAGACATTTTTAAGTCAGTAAGACTCGTACACCTCACATCCATACATTTTTGCAAGTGGTGTCGTGTTTGGGAGTGTGCATGTTTGTTCGTACTATTAAAGAGAGTTCAAAGAAATGTATTTGCGTACCAAATCATAAACCATGTGAGCACTTCAAAATTATACTCATGATTTTTCAAAATTGAAATCCTATCAGTTTGCTTTAACTTGAAGTCCCGCTTATCTCTTCATATTGACTATGTGAAACAAACTAAATATTAAACATTTTCTCCCAACACTCCCATTTTTCTGTACATTTTTTGTTATTAGAAAAATTGCACTTAATAAAATGACGTAAGTTTTATTTTTATTTTAACTTTTGAATTTTTAATACATTTAATTTTTTTAACCACTTGGGCATCCTTAATATTTACATTATACATGCATTTAATAATTTATGATCACATAAGCTTTAAATGATTTTCAATAGTTTCTTAACATTTTTAAAGCTTTTGCCTACAGTTAATTAATAATTCTTAAATTTTTCTCAAAAAAATGGCCCTAAATGTTTTCTTAAATTTTTACTGTATAATTTGTTTGAATTTCTACAACCCAAAAATTATATTTTGACTAAATCAATAAGGACTTGTAATTTTTTATTTTTTTTTATGTTATCTTTGGATAAATTAATATATTCTATCTCAATTTTACAGTAATGAAAATTTAACTGATTTGTAAATTGAAATGTCCTACAAGTTTTAGGTTCTACTCGATTTTTTCTAAATTGTGTAAAATATTTATGTATGAGTGTGGGAGGAGTGTGTTTAAAACTGAACTAGCTTTGAAGTATTGACTTGGCAATAAACTTTATTGTACTCAGTGAATTACTGTGTATATTCAGCTTTGATACACTAATATTGAGTACAATTGTCTATTGTTGAAACCAAATAACTCAAAATTATCAACTTTCATTTTATTTTACGATTGAAACAGGAGTGCAATTTTCTGGTTTGATGTGGAAACCAAATGTGACTGACTCATTCGATTTCAACAAGTTCTCCTATTCAGTACAAGACATCTCTATAAGGCAGTATGAATAGCTGTTTATCTATATAAAGAGATTGGGGAAAAAAATGATGCTAATGAATTTTCATTTGTTACCTTCTGTTCTTTGGCAAAATTGATTTAAATATTTTTTTTATGTTAGAATTATGTAATTATTTAAAAACAATATAGTATAGTATCATATGCACTACAAAAATAATACACAATATAATAACAAATGTTTATTATTTAACATAAATCTATGATGAACTCTCCAAAATTGTTGGCTGGATCCACTCCTGAATAGCAAAGCAAGACTAGCAAAATACCCTGCGTTGTCCGGTTTTTATCTCTCTCCTCTTTCTCCTCTCTCTTTCTCTTCCTGTCAACATACTTCTCTGCCAGTTTGTTTTTCTCTCTCTCTTTCTCTGCCTCTCTGTATCTGTCGCTCTGCCTCTATCTCTCTCACTTACTTACGGGCGTCGTCTTTTTCTCGGTGTCTCCATCACTCTGCATCTCTCCGTCTCCGTCACGCGCGCCCGTCCGTTTCTCCTCGGTCGCACCCTGCGTCACACGGCAACGCAACAATGAAGTTCGGCTTTGGATCGCAGTTTGGATGGAAATTGAATTAAAATGAAGGGCAATGGGAAATTGAATTAAAATGAAGGGCAGCGCCTTTTATTAGAGTCACAACCAAATGAACAGTACATAAACCTTCTTGGTGAAAAAACACGTAATGTGCCAACTTTCACGGAGATTGGTCATACGGTGTCGGAGTTTACCGCCTTAAATATACCATCATGTGTGGTTTATATTAATATACACACACACATATAGACAGAGGGGGAGAGAGAAAGAGAGAGGGAGATAGAGAGAGAGAGAGGGAGAGGGAGACAGAGAAAGAGAGAAAAAAGAGAAGATCACACGTTTTCTGTGTCAGATAATGCTTTCTCTCTCTGTAATCAATGTTTTCCATCATTCAAAATAAAACACCCATAACCGAATTTCCACACCTTTTGAATAACTAGAAATAATTGCAAATAGTAAGATGTCACAACGAAACTGATCAATGGTCAGGCATAGCAGGTATAGAACAGGATAAGAACATCTTTGCTCCCGTCAGTTTTCCAGAAATAAGATACCTAGAAAGTGGAGTGGTGTGGTAGTAGGCCGTAAAATGATTGATTACCAATAAACTTTCTGTCAAAGAAGAAAAAGAAGCCATCCTTTCAGGTTTGCTGAAAAATATCTCTACGGCCTACCTATCCCAAGAAGTTCTCATTGCAAAGAAGAAATAGGAAGACATTAAGAAAGTAAAGGAATATGTCGCATCTGAAGCAAGGTGGTTTTATGAAGAGCTCCTCGTTCTCGCTCTTTTACCAATGAGTGACCAAAGTTTGGTATTTTGTGTTTATAACAATTTTTTGTCTTAAATATCAAAAGAGAAGAATAATACATACACTAATTAAGTTTCTTGCAGTATGCGTAAAACAAACTAAAAACAGGCACAGACTTTGCCGTATTAATTTTCTGTGATTTCGGCTAGCTATTCGGACTTGCCACATACTCTTGCCAGTTGCCATCTATCGCCGCCTAAAGTACATTTTTTTGACATTTCAATAAGTTTTCTGTTTCTTAATAGTAGAACGAAAATAATATTTTATGAATATTAAAGAACAGTAAAACCTCGTCCCGAACGGCAATTTTCTTGAAAACTTTGAAGCCGTTTTTAAACACTACTGTAAATTCGAAATTTGAACCTCTTTTTCACAGAAACGTTTTGAGATTTCGAAAAACTTCGTTAGAAGCACTTTAAATCACAAATACAATAGCGTTTACAAATTGCTGGATATGTGCATATTAATGGCGTGAGAGACCCCCCCCCAAAAAAATGTATATAAAAAATAAAATAATAATAAATAAAAAAACAAAAAACATTAGTGTAATTTTTTAAATAAAAAGCACCCCAAAATGTAAAGGTTTTCCTGTACGTCATATTTAAGAGAGCAATTAGCACTATTCGTTCGAGAGATTGGAAGAAAAAATTTGGGGATTTTGAGAAAAATGGCGTTTGAAAATGCCTAACTTTGAGGTACACGGAAAAGAGAAGTTACAGTATACCAGATCCATGATACTGTAACAAAAGAACTTGGGTATACTGCAACTGTTTTTTTTTCTTTGTAGTTTTCACAGAAAACGGTTGAGTTTTTAGTAACTTTATATGATATTATTTAAAGCACATGCACTCATAAATATAATAACGTGCACAAATTGCCCCAATATAAATATTAACGTGAAAGGCAAGTCAAAAATGTACATTTTGTAATTTTTTAAAAACAAAAGAGCAATATGGCGTTTATATCATTTCATAGAGTATATTTAGTACTATCCCTATCAAAAGTATAAAGAAAAAAATTGGAGCCGTTTTTGAGAGCCGTTTTTCATTTTTTAAAATTTCAAATATTGCACGCAATATTGCGCAAAAATCACTTAAAGTTTCGAAAAATTTAACTCTTTTCTACTCAAATGCGGAAACTAAATAAGTCTCTTTTTTTTTTGTTGCACTTCTTAGAAAAATGAAAAAATCTTGCTTCTGCTATTATTATCCATTTGATTCACCCCCCTCATTTCATTTCTTTATTCTGGTTATATACAGTGTGAAATGGATCAGGAATTGTATAGGATTTTGGTACAAAAAAGTCACTTATTTAGTTTTTCAACAATTGAGTTAGAAAATTAAACTATTTTTAATTTAGTTTTACTTTCCCGTATATATACGAATATACGTAGTACTTATATATCAAAATCCTATACAATTTCTGAACTACTTCACACTTCCTATAACCAGAATAAGGCAGTATTTACTAAGCTGTCCGGGTGACGCCGCGTCCATGGTGAAATAGGTGTTTTCAGGCATCGTGAAGACGTATGCCTTGGTCAGCATTCAAGTTATAGGGGTGTTTGATGATTTCCACCGCCTCTTTTATCCTCCTTCAGTGCCCAGGGTCTTCTCTGCTAAGAGGCGTGTGTCATCAAAGTAAAATAGCGTGGTCCAGTTTTCCCATGCGTCAGGGCTACGGCCGTTTTATTTCGTTTTATTGTATTTACGAATGTTCCCGGAGGGGCGTTCCTCTACGGTTATCCGCTCGCCAATGTAACATATGGCCGCAGCTGCATGGTATTTCGTATACCCCGATACGAGGGGAGGGACGCGATCTTTCCGCGTAAACGTTTTTTGCCCGATTTCCTGGCTTGTAGGGCCGTCTTTATATCAAAGCGGCTCGTATAGCTTTGCCAATCTTATCTGTGACACCGCGTTATTATGCAGAGTGGGTCTTTTTTTGTTGTGGATCGTTTGGGTGTGTTGATATCGATCGTTTTGCAGAGGATCGACAACCTGTCGTACCGCCTTGGTTGACAGCGTCAGCGCGCTATATCCGTTGGCTCGAAATGTAGTCTTTAGGAGCTCCATTTCAGAGTCCAACGATTCTTTATCACATACCCTAGTTGCTCTGATTGCCAGCGTTTTCAAAACCCCCCGTTTAGTTGCCGGGTGATGGTGAGAGCCAGCGTGAAGGTAACGGTTTGTGTGGGTGGGTTTCCGGTAGACACTATGCCCTAGTCTGCCGTTCACTTTCCGACTCACCAGCACGCCGAGGAAAGGCAATTTCCCCCTCATTTTCCACCTCCATCGTGAACTTAATCTTGGGGGAGGGGTGTTATTAAGGTGCTGGAGAAAGTCAGCTAAGGTGTGAGGACCGTGGGGCCACACTACTAGTATGTCGTCCATGTACCGGAGCCATAAGGTTTGTTTTAGAGGGGCATTCTCCAGGGCTTCCGTTCCGAAGGCCTCCATGTAAAGGTTAGCCACAACCGGAGAGAGGGGGGAACCCATGGCCGCTCCTTCAACTTGCGCATATAGTTGCTCATGGTACTGAAAGAAAGTGGACGTGAGCCAGAACTCAGCCGACCTTTTCATGGAAGCCTATGCTCTCAGAATAAGGCAATCTTTGAAATGAGAAAAAAAAAATCAAATTAATAACAGCAGAAGCAATCTTTTTTACATTCTTCTGAGAAGTGCAAAAAAAAATTGACTTATTTAGTTTCAACGTTTGAGTAGTAAAGAGTTAAATTTTTTATATGAAGTTAATTGTAAATTAGGCATGTTTGCTGTGCTTCAAACAGGAAGGCTTGAAACATCAACAGCTTGTTTCTCAACATACAAGTTATAATTTTTCATGACTGTTCTTCATGAGGATGTTTCAGCACACGTTCACTCTATTGTGCATGATGACATTGGAACCACATATCCTCCATGTTAGTGTTGTTATCTGCCATTCATTTTAAAAAATACTATGAAACTTATATTTTGGAAAAGCTGCTACAGCACATCACAAAATATTGGCAATGCTTTCTGCAAAGTCATGAAAGGAGAAAAATGGTAAATAAAATCATTTATTATTACAAAATTATAAAACTTAAATGCAAATGCACAATATCTGTATAAAAATAATTATGATATAACAACACGAATTAAATACATTATGGCATGCATATTCTCTAAATACGACATTAACATGTTGCAGAATACTTGAACTGCAAAGTATAAAGCACTTTTCCATTTCTTATTTGAAATCATAACAAAAACTTTGAGCAATGAAGGAAAGATCACAAATTTCAGAGATTTAAATCTACATTCTGTACATAAAAGTAGACTTAGCACTTTCAATAAACATAAATTACAAAACTCTCATTGACTTCTAATACATACAATTAACAGACTCACAATAAATGCATTTCATAAACAAACATCATCACAAAAAGTATTTCATTACAAAAGCTCAAGTGTGTTCAGCATCTTGATTAAGAATAAAAAAGTACAAAATCATTACAATTTTGAAAATGATAGGTGTTGAATTTAGTTTTCCTTTTCTTCATATTCTTGAACTAAATGTCTCATATGGCACTATTTTCAGTAAAACCCTACTTCTACTCTATCTCAGAAGTTACATTTTCACTAATTTTCCCAATCCCTTAAATCTTAAAAGATATTTATGATAATCTTATGTAAAATAATAAAATTGCTTTACACAAGATGTGTTACATATTTTGAAGTGTTAAGTTTACACTTTCTCATTTAAGGTTATTAATAAAAGTAGATTTAATGTTCTGTTTTTTGTTATTCAAGGTAATCCCTCATGATTTGCATAATTTTTTCTTAGACCATCGAAAAGAGTAAAAGAGGGATTTTACTGTATTTGAAAGACATTAAGATGATATTACGTTGCATGACAGTTGTCTGAATGTATTGCTTGTATTAAATACATTGCATATACATACGTGCATCATTGCTTATAAAATTGTTTTAAATTGGTTGACATGGAAGTTTGAAAGATAGTAATTATTAGAGTTATCAATAAACACTGCCTTTGACAAACTAAATCATGGTTTCAATTATCCAGAATACTAGATGCAGCCAAACTTAAAAGACTTTCATTTAAATGTTGAAATGAAATTTACATGAGCATGTCCATCACTTTCTCCTTAAATTCTAACAATAAAATTGAATTTGAAGTGTACTTGTGGTCATCACATCAATAGGATCTGGTCTGAACTGGTTCAACATAGCAGAAGAGCTAGCTTCTTCACCTGAACAACTTCTTAACAAAAAAATACTCATATAAAAAGGGGCCTGAATAACAAATACCAGCTTATTAATTCAATAAAGTATGCTTTTGAAGCATGTATCTAAATTAAGTAAACAAGTGTTGACTCTACAAATTGATGAGTATCTCCTGAAGTTGCATATAACCACGCAGCTATGAAGCTCATGTACACAATATATGATCTTGCTGTTTAAAACAATGACCATCAATGCTGAATGAAATAAGAAAATGAAGCTTCCTTCTCAAGAGCTGAAACAAGTTGAGCAGCTGCCATGCGGCGCCCTTTGGGTCCAGGGGAATGAGCACATTGCTGCAGCAAAGTTGGAAGCACAGGCTGCCTGATGAGAGCAGCAGAAGGCACAACAGCCAGTAATCCTCCACTGTTGCCACCGCCCACCAACAATTCCTGCACCAAAATGACAGATGAAGAGACCACATCCTTGGAGCCTCCCCCTCAATAGGACACAGTGCCTTCTAAACAAGTAAGAATTAATTGTGTGAGATAATTTGCCATTGCCCTTCATGTTTTGGTCCAAAGATGGCTCATTCATTTGCCTACGTCAAACTATCCACAGTAAAAGCTTGTGGACAGTTTTTAATTTAAAGGTTATCACCACAATTCACCATCACCACATACACCACAGAGCCAGAACTTTAGATACTAGGATAACAACTAAAGTAATTATTATAAAAATAATCTAGTACTTCAGTTTTCTACAGTCGGCTTGTTATGAAGTTCTTTTACAATCTTCAGTGCCATTTGATGAACTCTAAATCGCATATGTTTTAGCCCATACAGCATTGTAAATCAATCAAGACAGACACAATGATCCAATTTGAAGTACATTTGTACGAGTTACTGTTGTCCTCAAGTTTTTAAAAGTTTTTTGTAAACACTGTCAGAAAATCAGTTTTGATTCCACCAAGAAAACAAAAATTACCTGGCACACAGCATAGAAATTATGATCACTGATGTGGTGACTGCAAATATCATCTGATGAAAAAGCAAAGCAATCGCTGCATCCGTAGTTCTCACTCACATGTTGACTGCTCCATGTTGCCGGCTTTACTGAAATATAAACACAATGATTTTTTTGTTTGCAATTTGAAACAAATATGTACTATTGGTAATGCTATATGCTATATACATTCAATTGTATTGATCATTGATAAAAATGAGTGTGTGCACATGTGTAAACACAAACAATAGATATATAAATATATCTATTACATATAATTTTGGAATAAAAGAGAAAGATATTAACATTTGAGAAGTATGCTAAGCATTAAAACAAAAGAAAAAAATACCTCTATCGGATGGATACTTGTCTAATATGATGATATTTTCCAGATCAACAAACTTGACATTTCCTACTGCATCCACAGCCACATTATCAAGTGAGATGTCTGTGAGGTAAAATCGAAAAGCAGGGTGCTTTTCTGTGAATTGGAGGGCTGCATGCAAAAGCTGCTTGGCAAGGTGAGCACGCTTAGGCCAGGGAGCATTTGTAAATTCTGACAAAGGCTGCCCAGCATATTCCTCCACGACAAGTCGACCACATGCTCCAAGATATCTGGGCACCGGCCAACTTTCTTCTGCAGGAAGGATCTGGAACCAAGGAGACACATACCAGCACCAATTTTTTTAGTGATTTACAATTAAAATGTCTTACTGTACATATACATAAGTTCACATTAATTTTCAGAAAGAATCTTCCTTTGTCACTGAAAAAGTGGTTATTGCTTCAATAATTCTGCACAATTAATAGAAGCTAAATGGATGGACAAGATAATAAAAAAAAGAGTATTAGAGAAGTCAGATAAAGATATGAAGGAGCAACAAAGGCAACAACATGATCCAATAAAATACTGAAAAATTAAACTGAGACAATTAGTGTAAAAATTAATAAGACTGACAACAAACAAAAAGAATGTCATATGAGATGTGCACACACGAAAACACATGATAAAATGAAAGAAAGAAAGAAATTTAGTTTGCTGTTGTAATGAAAATTTTAATAGATATTGTTAAAATGAATGAACAATAACCAATAATTTTTGTAAAAACTATTTTTTTTAACTAAACTTTTTTAAAATTATAATCCATTGGAGCAATTTAAATTTAAATTACCTGTAAAATGAGAGGCTCAGCATTGAGATGAAGCAAAGTCCATATGTGGATAAGAGCAAGGTCAGATGACACATTTTTACTGTTCTTCATGACATCACTCAACAAGACATCCAAATTATCTGCTGATGGGCATAAATGAAAACTACTCAAAACTCCGGCATTATCTCTGGTTGATTGTGATACATAGTCCATGATTAAACTGTGGATATCACTTAAATAATCAACTGCCTCCTTTATTTTACAGTCAGGTGCCAGGTCAGCTGCTACACACAAAGCTCTGTCCAGTCCTTGTAGCTCCCATGTATGGCCAAGTTTCTTGAGCACAACATGGTGGCCATTGTAAGAACCAAAGAATACGTTTTTCGTTCCTAGAGCACCAATTAGACCAGGCACTGAACCAAGGTCTGTGAGGCTGAGGGAACCGCTTGCAATAGCTGGGCACAGAGACGTTCCAAAGCATGCAGGGCATGTGTGAACCTCAGCCAACTCAGGAAGAGCTGGCAATGAGGTTAGTAAGTAGAGAGAGGCGATCAACAGGATAGAAAGCCCAACAAAACACCATCGCCATCTTCGTCCAATTCTCCAGCCATACATGGGCTCAGAAACCACACATACTCTGAAAGAAGTAATTTAACAATATATTAATATAAGATTTAATTAAATTTTAAATATAGCACTACCTAGATTATGGAAGTAAATTAATATTCATGAAGGGAATTATTTTAAAAGTATGTGCATTTTAAAGACTTCAGTTCTTAAAACGTTAATAGAGGAGAGTTACTAAACAATTCTGCTCACTTCTAGACTACATGTGTGTGTATCTTAGAATTCATTGTAAATTGCTATCAATATTTGAGACCTGCAATCATCCTGCACAAGAAATTCTTATTTTTCAAAGCTTGTAAATTCAAATTACGCTGAAATTTTCATATACCCTTCATAAAATGTTTCATTAACTCCACACTTTCTATCTAGAAATTTTCACTTGTTTAGTAACCTTATGTTGGCACCTGTCCTGGAATATGGTCAATGCAGCCACTCCCAATTTTTGATACCTTGTTTACTTCTCCACATGCTGACATAAAATAAAAATACTATTACTTTTATCTTTCCATGTTAAAAATTATGTTATATCAAATCTAGAGATAGTAGTTTTACAAGATAGAGTACATAATTCGACTAAATTTCTCATGTCATTATACGACCACAACCACCTTTAAAATCTAAAAAAAATTGTAAATCTTAATTTGATTTTAAGACTAATCATTGAAGACTTTTAACACAATTATGAAAAATGATACACATAATTTTGAAATTTACATTTTTTTTTCTCCAAAGGATATTGTAGTTATCCTTTTCGTATATTTCTATAGTTTAATTTTTAATCATCTTTTTTTAGATAATTAAGACAGGTAAAAGACAAGAATCAGAATTTGTTTGGAAACTCAATGAGCCAGACTTTTCAGTTGAAAACACTAGTGTCATTTCAAGAAGTTCACAATAATGGGAGAAAGAAGTTGATCTGCAGTAAAATGTGAGTTGTCAATGAAATTATAGTTCATCTCCAAACACTCAAACAATTTAATCCGTCACTTTTATAAGAGTAAAGGTATTAGGAACCTGATGAATAATCTACAGAGCAATAAAATCAAAATGGTACTGTGAAGAGTTTATTACAGGTTGATTCACTCATGATATACAAATGATAAAGTATAAAATTTTCCAGTACAGTAGTGGTTGATAAATTTAACAAATCTCAATGTTTCATCATCTCGATATGAAAGAGCCAACGCATTCTTCACTGGTGTAACAGTGAGAAGTTCCAAGTCTTCATCTCGTGCAATATATGACGTAAATCCTCCGTGCTCCTCCTCCACATCATCAACGTTAAAATAAATTACCGCATCCAAAGCACTTTCTTTAAAAGTTGGATCATCATCATTTACAAGAGTGTAACAGCCATGTTGCCACATCTGAATCTCAACCGAACACTTTGGATCACCAGATCCAACATTATCAGAACTTGATGATGCAGAGCTCATTAAATTTTTTTGTTCTCCATCACAAGGTACTAGATCCAACTTTGTAAGCTTATGCAGGAAAGTGAAAACAGCAGTTGAGGAAAAAAACTCAATAAATGATTTTACATATTCAGGTACAGTCTCATCAACAGGTACAAAATACTGTCTTCGATTAGGTGGCCCTCTCTTCTTCCACTGAATATCATCACTACGCAAAGCAGAACATAATGTATCATACACATTTTCCTTTAGAAATTCTGAGAGAGAAATTTGGCTTTGCTCTTCAAATATTTCAGAGACTTCTTGGTGGTAATTTTCACCTAAGTAAACTGGGTTGATATATTCAAAAAGAGCCTCGGCATCAGATGGTGGTCGAGGAGGCAATCTCAAAGGAAGTGATTCTTTAAAGTTGCTTTGTGAACAGTGCACAGATGAATGAAACCAACCATTTACTGTCATTCGAAAATTGTCAGTCAATACTTCTGCAACCTGATGGAAAGATTTATCTGTGACCTCAAAAAACACAAATTTGTTAAATTCTGGAATAATGGATCGCACAACTTCTACTGGTTGCCCTGAATCATCAGTGCTAAATAGCTGAAGTGCACCACCTTCATCTTCCTTCCATTCTTTGTTGAGATACAATATAAAGGCAATTCTTCGATCTTCACACTTATCATCATGACACAAAAGATAATCACTATTACTATAACAAGAATATGTCAGTGCAAGTTTGTTGTTAAGATCTATATTTGTAACATCCTGAAGCCATGAGCGACACTGACCAAGTAAAAAATTCTTTAGATTGTTGATTGCAGGGGTTACAACATTACCCAAGTCTTGTGACTGATGAAACTGATAGAGATCATTATTTTTGGCAACCAAGTCAAGTGAAGAAAGTTCATCCCCAAGATCATCAAAGAATGATTTGTCTTCAATAAGATTGTTTATAATGCAACATTTAAATGGCTCGCGAATTACTTCAAAATTCGAATTATTTGCAGCATTTGCATGTACCCACGCATCTCGTAAAAGTTTCTTTGTCTCGTCCTCGTTTACAGAACCTCTAATATATATTTCTTGGTCACGTTGCTTCTTAATGACTTCTTGTGTTGTCGACGAACTTTTCCTCTTTCCTTCCATTACAAAATAAGAAAAATTTAGAAGATGATGCTACGGAGAAAAGGCAAGAAGGATAACAGCTCAAATGCACACTTTATATATAACGTGTGGACTACACACCGCCCGAATCTGTGCAGTGTGTAAAGCTACGTGCATAACGCCGCGCTCACAATCGCGGGCGACCAAATCACGATGACGGAGGGCTTATAATACTCTTTGGAGGGGTCTGCTTTCGGACTTCACCAGCAAAACCTCGCAATGCACACGTACAGTGCGATGTCAATCACTTTACCGGTAGGACACACGGATGGAGTCGTTCCCCGGATCATCCAATGATAATAATCGCCGTGGTGTTAATGTATTTGTGTAGGTCACTCTGAAAAACGAAAATTATGTCAAAATTCAGAAAAACAATGAAAAATTGCAACATTCACGAGACATTCTATTACAAGCCTCACATCTCTCTTGCGACTGTTGCCTAGTGTCGTGTTCCCTTCATTTGCCCCTACTTTCGTGCACACCAGTACACACACACACACACTCACACCGAACCGTGCACACTTGTTTTTACCACCTGGTTTTTACGCCAATCAAATTGATCGGACGGTACCATCAAAAACAAAATAAAGTTAGTGTTGATACCAAACGGTAGAGTGCGCAGAGAACACATCTTCGAACGATAGTCTAATAATATTTATTATACTGTTCTCAAACCAAAGTTAATTGTATGTAAAATGACCTTGCTTCGAACGCTTGACTTTAAAGCGGGTTTTCCACGATTGAAGTTTCTTCATTAGGAAAGTTTTGCCCGCCACAGCGTACAGCACTGTCGATCTGCTCATGCGTAGATGCACTATACTTGGATTTATTTAGAGCTGCCTCTGACGAACATCAGCTGTTACGGTGTCATCCAGTTGGAAGGTTGAATGTCACTGTAGTGACGTCACTATTGACGAATAAGCTCTCTATTGGATGACACTGTAACAGTTGATAACTTATCAGAGGCCTGTAAAAAATCGCAGTGTAAAGTGATGCGAAACTTGAACTGCACATGTGCAGAAGAACGATAGTGCTTTAACAAGGAGTTTGTGCTATGGTGGAAATAGGGAGTTAGTGCACGCCATAGCGGACAGTACTATCGATCTTTTGCTCATGCGCAGATGCACTAAAGTGGTGCGAAACTTTACGCATGTGTAGTTCGCAAAAGATTGACAGTGCTTTAACGTTCAAGGTGGTACAAACTCCCTAACATTTGAAAGATATGCTTCATAAATATCTTGATTATTAACGAGATGGTATTTTGGTAATTCACAGCATTGAAATTTCCCGCAAATATTGTACCGCAAACTGGTGTATGAAGGTCATTGGTTGAAGTCGGATATGGTGACAAGAGCCCCCTATATTGCACATGTGCAGTAGAAGTAAATATGGAGTTTGTACACGTCTTAACGTCAGCACTATCGATTTTCTGCGAATGCGCAGATGCACTAAAGTGGTGCGAAACATGAACTGCGCATGAATTCTCGTCTATCCGGGAGACTGGACTGTCACTGCCCTGAGGAAGCCTGCGACATGTCAGGCGAAACGTCGGCACCCCAGCCAACGACGCGGCGTCTCCCGGATAGCCGAGAATTCATGGATTCGAGCCGCGGAAGCTTACGTGTACATGAACTGCGCATGCGCAGAAGATCGATAGTGCTTCGAGTTGGGACAAACTCCCTATTTTCTGCGCATGCTCAGTCAAGTATCGCACCACTTTATAGCGTCTGGATCTGCGCTTGCGCAGAAGATCGAGGGCTGTCCGCTATGCACAAACTCCCTAATGGGGGTCTTACCTACCACGCGCTCCTGCGTTACTACTCAGCGGCCAGAATTGGAAAGGTATTATAAAGGTAAGTTTTAGGACTCTTCTCAGGGGTTCGACTAGCCCTTGTGAAGCAGCCAAACTCGTTTTGTTGGAACAAAGGGGGTTCTTTCGCGTTAATATAAACTAATACTTTTATATATTTGTAGAATATTACAATACCGTAGGGTTTAATAATTACTATTATATATTTTTCGATCCATTTGTATTTGTTTACCCACGCTACCAGTAACTACTAGTGCCATTAATTATGTTAATATGTACAATTTCTGTAGTAAATAATACTATTAATTGAGAATTTGACGTGCCTTCCTTGCTAAACGAAACCTCTTAGTTGAAAAATGATAATTTTACAAAAAATACCAATGCAACGTTTATCCAGAGCCATTCTTTTAACAGTTTTCATAAATATTTTCTTATTTTCTAGCGTGCGATGAGAGAAAATGGCAACGTAGCGTAGCATTCGCATCATCAAGCAGATTCATTTCCTTACGGCGAAAGATTTTGCGAATTCTAAGTGAAAATTATTGAAAAAAAACATGTGATATAAATCGTAGTTACCAGTGCAATAAACGTTTCATTTCGACAACTTGTTTCAGTTATTAGTTATTCAGTTCCATTATAAAATCTTTTCTTTATTACAAATAAGCATTTTATTTATTTTTCATCCATTCCGAATTTTATCCGGATTATCCGAAATTTCGGATTTCTGAGGTTTGAATTAGTGATGTACGTATTGTGCCTGTATTACATAAGACCTGGTCCCTTGAAAATCACATTTTCACACTGGGGGTGGACAAAGTCGTTTTCTTATGTGAACGGTACCACAGTGTAAGGTACACCGTGAAGGCACGGTGTAAGATAACTATCTTACACCGTGGTGACGGTACTTTATACGTTCCTTCTTTTTAGTGAACTAGTTCAAAAGAACGAGATAGTTCATTTATTTTGGTGACGCAGACAGGGATGTCATATTGGGCAGAATATTACCAATTGGGCGAAAAATAAGCGTCGACTTGCTGGATGTAATACATTTTGCGGAATTACGTCCATTGAGCGAAATCCTTTGCTTCCTGTGAGGATTTTACGATGTATACTTTTTTGCTTACATTTATCCACAAATTGTACAAGTATTGAAGGATTTTGAAAGAAGTGGCCTATAGACAAATGTTTTAATTTTGATCATCTTGTAAATATGCAGCTATTATAGAAATATGTCAGAGTAATATGTTTTATTTTTAGACATGTATTTCTCTTATTTTTGTAGAAATTGAACAAGTATTTAAGTCATAAAACTTTACTTGATAGGTATGATTTATGCACAAGAGTAGTTAGTTTTAAATTTTCTGTGAACGTACAGTTATTTCAAAATTATCAGCTCCATTGTCAGTCAAATTTATTCACCACTCACGTTTGTTTCCCACTAGGTTATTTAGCGGAATGTGGTGGGGTTTTTACCCCTCCGATGGCGGAGTTTCCCAGAAGGAATCTGCCAGCTCTGGACGTAGTGGTTTTCCAGTGTTAAATTTGAAATTGTTGCCGACACCGTAGGTCGAGGCCAAAAAATCAACAGACACCACGAAAAAACAAACACTTCCCTCACGAAAAATGAATATTTTTTTCTACAACTGTATAAACATAATAAAAAATGTGTGGAAAAGTTGGTTATTTTATATTACATTAAGGTGCTTGATATCTCGGAGAATACCAGTAACTTATAGAGGGTTGCTAAGGGATGCATTGTTAAAATTCAATGAATGAAGCACATTCTTCCTCGGTAACAAGACAGTTGTCTTGGCAACCGTGTTTTTAATTTACACAAAAAATAGACTATTTCATGTGCCGTTAACAATGCGCAGAATCTGCCTTTATTATAGTTGTTGAAATAGTTATTTGTGATACGAGCGTTAAGGTTGCATTTTATTTTGCGCGTAGGAAACAGTGCAACCTGATGCCGATTAGCCGAGTAATGCAATCCTACGAACAAAATGAAATCACTTTTACCACGTCATACACATATTATTTTCTAAACATATTCACAAATGCAACATGACTATTTTTGAGATTTGTTTTAGGAATCATATAATTTTAAGTATGTTTTTGCATTTTTATATTTAGTTATATAACACGTATCTACATCAATATAAACCAGTACTAATAATTTTTGCATTTTCCGTTGCACATTTTCAAACCCCCTAAACTGGTTGTTGGACATTAAGGACTGACCCAGCCTAGGCACGAATCTATGAAGAATGTCTTTTTTTATTATTATTATTGATATTTAAATTTAGTCTTCTTACACTACCATGTATCAAATTAATTACCTTTCCATGATATTGTATTTAATACAAGAATTGAATTTTAAATTTAATTTATGTCTGATATTCAATTTTTAGAAATATCTCTATATTGTATTGTATGTATATATGTGTATATATATATATATATATATCCTGACTTGTCATGCATGGGCGTATGTTGTATTTATGTGACAAATTTATTATTTTTGTTTTGTTTAGCAGCAGTGATATTTAGTATAATGATAGTATCACAAATGATGATTGACCAAGATTTGTTCCTTTGTTTCAAATAACAGGATTTTTTCATGCACATTGTTATTTTTTTGTATATGTACCAATTTTAGGAATAAATATTATTTATGTAAAGTACCTTTTTTTAATTTTCACTTCCTATCATTACAATTTACTTCACTTCCGCACAATTACATATCCTTTAAGAATTACTGACTTCTACATTACCTTGTGCATTCATTTTTATGTCAAATACATTTTATTTAGTACATAACCATGTCCACCACATTGAAAATTTACTAAATAATGTAATTTCAAATAGCCCGGTTCACGTCCCTCCTCCATTTCAATTGGTTTACTGCCTTTCGACGCTTATTGGCTGGCGGTGGGCGAATATGGCTGCCTTCTTTCTCATTCGTTGTTGGGGTAGGAGATTCGAATTTCTCCCCTCCACGAAAATTAGGGCTTTCCGTTTACCCTTAAGTGCCGTCTCTGATATATACTCTCTGTCACAAAGAGCTAGAATATACGATAGTATACTGTGCTATACTGCAGTATATTCTAGCTCGTTGGTGATATGCTACTTTTTAGTCAGTCTTTCTGACTTTAATTATATTTTAATTCAA